ATGCTCACACAAGGAATCTATCACTGGCAAGAAACAGAACCCCAGTCTCCCAATGCCTTCTTCTGTGCCTTATTTACCAAACCACCTTTCCTTAGTAAGCACTATTAACAGAGCCTGCTGGCACTGTCATTTGCAAAACAGACTTTTAAAAAAACAGGAATCTTCTTAGACAAGTGTCTCTAATAACAACTAATGCTAGAATTTACATTACCGATACGAATTCTCAGTTTAGCTCAGGAATTATGTTGTTATCGAGAAGAAGAAGAATGATTGTAGCATTCTGGAGTTTAAGTGCAAATAATCATTTTCTCTGTGTTAGATTAGATTTGTAAAGGCTAATCTTTCTACAGACACTTCCTTTCTATTTTTAATACAGAGCTGGATCGAGAAAGATTTTCCCATAGCAAAACTCACCTACCTGTATACCAAAATAATTCTGAGGTGATCTTGTTGTAGATTCAACTCGAACCCTTTGTGGTACAGTCTGCATCGAAAGCCCCCCCAAGTGGATATTTTAATCACTAAAATTCAGTATCTGATTCCTACACTGTGTATTTTTAATTGCACTAATAGTTTGCCTGAAAATCTGTCAGTGCATCTAACCAGAGGGTGGCAGTATTTATTTCAACATTCAATTGCTTCTGGAAATAAAACTATTTGTTATAGGTGTCCTGCTTCCCACTCATAATCACTAAAAAGCAAAATCAACATCTCTTTAATAAGGAAGTTTAAGCCAGTCCAGAAGTCAGTAGAATGTAAAGTGCTAGAGTAAAACTTACAGTAAGGATCACCTCAGGGTTTCCAATGCCATTATTTATAGGCCATCATTAACTAGGCTATTGATTTTTGCTGAGTGGCCAGGTAGTACAAGTTTCACTGTGCTTTCAAAATTAAACAAAATTGTTATTAAATACAGAAGAAAGGCATTCTGACATCAAAAACCAGGAGGGTGGAGCTTGGGTGCTTTGTGTAGTGTGGGATAGGAGGATAATCCCACAATTCAGAATGATCATTTTTAACTTAATATGATAGTAATTCTTAACATATATACAGTGCATTACAACTTCAGAGCACGTAGATCCATGTCCCAGAACCACAGCCTCTCAAAATTGAAGCCTTTCTTACCCACAGCCTTGTCCTTCCTCCAAGCTCCTACTATAGATTTCAGCCAGGGGCGAAAGTAATTTAAAGGACTTACTGGTATGCTGGAGTCCTGAGGGGGGACGTGGCCTCAACCGGAAGAGGCGGGGCTTTAAAATCAAGATTTAAAGGGTCCAGGGCTCCCCACACCAGCTCAAGCCCCGGGCCCTTTAAATCACCACCGGGGAAGCCGGTCTGGTCTGGCACGGCGTACTGGCTATTGCCGGTACTTTGTACTGGCCCGTGCCGGCTTACTTTCACCTCTGACTTCAGCCCAGATTTTTAAAGGCATTTAGGCATCTAAAGATGCAGATAGGAACCTTAAGCGATTTTCAAAAGCGCCCAGGGGCTGAACTCACTGAAATCAATAGGACTTATGTGCTCAGCTGCTTTAGAAAATTATACTAGTCGCCTATCTACATCTTTAGGCACCTAAATGCTTTTGAAAATCTGGTCCCTCTGCTTCTTCATCTTTCTCTGCTGCCTTTCCCCTAACTTTCTACAGAAAGCTTAGGCCTTGTGTACATGCACAAGTTGCACCTCTTTAACTTACATTAATTTTAAACCAATTTAGTTAAACTGGTGCAAACCCCTATGTAGACACTCTTATTTTCATTTAACTGTGGTTTATTGGGTTTTAACCTGTTCCTAATTGATTTAAGCTAAACTAAAAGACAACTGTACCTAAACTGAAGTAGGTGTGTCTACATGGACTTCTGCACTAGTTTAACTAAACTGATTTAAAATCACACCTTAAACTGGTGTGATTTTCTCATGTAGAATCTCATCTTTTACAGTGGTCAATTTTTAGGAGCATAGAAATTGTCAAACTGGATCAGCTCTGAGGTCCTTCTAGTCTAGTGTCCTGTCTCTAATAGTGCCCAATATTATACACTTAAGAGGAAAGTGTAAGAACCCTGAAATAGGCAGATATAATATGATCCAACCCCCATATTAGGTCTCATCCTGATCTCTAGTAGTCAGATATTGGCTTAAATCAGAGGTAGTCAATTATTTTTTATCAAGGTCCAAATTTCTTGATCAAGGTCCAGACTCCAGAGAAAATAATAAAATAATAATAAGTAAATAAAAAGATGTTGGGGTCCATTCAAAAGTATAGGGCGGTCAAGTTTTGGCCCATGGGCCTCCTATTGACTACCCATGGATTAAACCCGGAAGTTAAATATCCCTTTCAAAATTATTGGCAATAATGATTATACGGGGATAACAAGAATATCGAGTTATATGTCCAATCCCTTTCTGAATCCTACTAAGTTCTCGACCTCAACAATTTCCTGTGGCCGTGAATTTTGCACTCTTATTACGCATTGTGTGAAAAAGTATTTTCTTTTATCAGTGTTGAAGTTGCCACTTTTAAATTTAATTGATTGGCCCCTTGTTCTCATGAGACTGCTGCCAGAGTAACTCCCTCTGCCATTCCAGTAGGTTCATGTCTACCTTTGCCAGAGTAGCTGTGTCTTACAATTATGATAGTTCATTCACCATCACCAGAATAACTTTGCCATCCTGCTCCTGCAATATGATGGCCTTGGGAGGAATTGCATCCTGTAACTGTAAGGAGACTGCAGTTCCCAGTAGCCTACTTAGTGGAACGTGGCTTAAAATTGATGTAGTTTTCATGAAATGACATGTATAACAGCCTGTTCTGGTGTTTGACGGGGGCTCTGCATGAACGTGGTCAGCCCTGTCAAGCTCTGGTAGAGGTGATCTTTAATAAGACTTTTTTTTTGGCATGGATTTCTTTGTGCTAAACAAGTCTGAACTTTTATGTCAAGCACCACTCTAGAAAAATATATGCTCAGCCACAGTATGCTCCTATAATAGTGGACCCCTTTGATCTGGAGTCAAGAAAAGTATTAGTGGCAAAGAGTTCAGTTGTGTTAAATGCAAAATAATGGGGATTTAAACCTCTATTTACTATTGGCTGATTAATTATTACAGAATCATTGCTGTAGAAGTGAGAGAAAAAGTAAAATTGTTACACCTTACATGAAACCCCCAGAGTCTGAAAGGCTAATATTAGCATCATTTTCTTATCTCTTACTCACACTGTAGTCTCTGGGTTTGTAAGAAATATTTTTGCAAAGTGGCAAAAAACATTTTCTTTCTCCATTGGTCAAAACATCAGAACTTCTTGGATTGTTGCACTGTGTTCAGGGAAGCAGCAGGTTCTGAACCAATTAATTTAAATGGAAAAAAAACATACATCTGCAACGTATTATCAAGTTCCCAGTCTTCCAGTGTTTTTGCAATACTATAAAATATGAAGGAAAAATTCTGAACATGAAGCTTGGAAATTCTGGCCTTGAAATTTAACCTGTTTTAACATCAAAATGGAAATAATTCTTTTATTTTCACTTTTCACTGCACAATTCATATCCCTAAAAAATCTTGCATGTAATAGCGAAACCTGTGACTACAGAGAAGAGAAATAGCATCTCCCATTAGGTATGGGAGGAAAACAAGAATGTTTGCAACTATTAACTATCTGTATCATATATTTTAGTGATTGGGTTTTGAAGAGCAGAAGAAATATAGTGAAAACAGTCTTCAGCATCCATTCAAAGGCTCTACTAAACTTACTTGCCTCATAGACTTTTAAAGGATAAACAAAACTGTACTGGAAAATCTGGGGAATACTTTAAACTGTTCATTTAAGAGAAGGAGGCATCTATTGGAGGTGCAGGTTTCACTGTATAGTACTTTCTGTACGAGTATGTACAGGTACCGTGTTTTACCTGAGTATATCTGTAATTTGCATTCACTAGTGCCTAAAAATGAGTGCGCTAAAGAAAGCATATATTAATTCTCGCATATACATTGTTTAGACTAAACCACTGTATTCTTAGGATTGGGATGTGGTTAAATGTCTTTGTCACAAGGAAAAAGGTTATTGATTTCACATTGAAACCCTGTAACTGAGCATTCACAATGCCTAGTTATCCTAACAGGGTGATTAGCAGAGAAGAAGAAAAGAACATATATATATTTTTTGTCCTTTATCAGAAACATACTTGATATTCATAGAGTGAAGAACAAATGAAGTAAGATCACCTGAGCAGGAATGGGACAGGAACACAGGAGGTGGTGGGTAGGGTTTAGCTGCAATATACATTGCAGGAGAAAAGCAACCAACTAATGGGTGGATGTGATTGGACCTGAAAAATCAATTATTTCCTTCTATTTTTACAGTAGGGTAAGCCTCTGAACAATTTAACAAGGATAAGAACAATTATACTGCTCCTTTCCACTTCTACAGCACCTTCTGGTTGAAGAGCTCAAAACTTTTGAAAAAACACAAAGGAAATTAGCCTCCCACTGCCTGGGCGAGGTAGGAAACATGAATGATCTTTTAGAGAGGAGGAAATCAAGGCACACAGCTCCAACTTTTACCCTAAATTGCATCCCTCTGGGACACACAAACCAGGCCAGAATTTGACCCCTGGGCAATAAAGGGCCAGAGCCACTGACATCACTGGAGAGATGAATCGGGCCTTCCCTTCCTTGCCCAAGGTCCCACGCGGGCCTTGGGCCCAGACCCAGATTAGGAGGCCAGACAGGCCATGAGCTGCTCTCGTCTGACCCCGGGTGGAACACAGGCCGGAGAGTTCCGCCCGGGGCACGGCCCCGTGGCTTAACCTCGCAACCGGGGCTGTGCAGAGCCCGAGCCCGGGGGGTCTCCATGGCTCCCGCTGCTTCTGACCACCCTGGCCCCTTAGTTCCCTGGCGGCAGCCCGCGGCTCCTCCCGGGTAGCGGCGGGATGCGGGGGCCGGAGCGAGCTCCCCGCTGCGGCCCCCGCGGCCCCGCTCGGTGGCTGGCTCCGCCCCGGGGGGGGGCGGGGGGAAGAAAGGGGAGGCGAACCCGGAAGTGCATGTGGCCGATGGGGGCTGGCGGAGCGGCGGCCTGAGGGGTAAGAGCGACCGCTGCGCGGGGGCACCGGGCCGCCGCTTCCCGCCCGACCCCAGCGCGGCGCGGTTGGGCCCGGTGGGGCGGGGCCGCCAACTGTGGCAAGCGCTGGGCTGGGGAGCGGGGAGCTGACGGGGGCCAGGGCCAGGTGCTGTCAGCAGAAGAGGGGGTGGTTGGGGGGCGCACCCCTCAGCCGGCAAGGGAGAACAGGGGGGTAACTCGGGGAGGGTTAAGGACAGACGCTGCTGAGTCAAAGGGGCGCTTTGGGCTGTCTGGAGCGGGACACGTTTCCCACCCAGGTGAGGGGAAGTGGGTGGGGAGCCCGCCCGTGGATAGGCCCCCCACCCAGGTGAGGGGAAGTGGGTGGGGAGCCCGCCCGTGGACAGGCCCCTGGCTGCAGACACCGTTTTCTACTCCATGTCGTGCGGGCATGCTCGGTGAGATCCGCAGCATGGCAAGCCACCCATCGCGACTAAACCCTTCCAGGGCTGCTAGCACCAGTTCATCCAAAACAAAGCTAGCAGTGGTGGGAAATGGGCCAGCAATGACCCTTGTTTAGACAAGATTTCAGGTAAAAACTCCAAGGAATACAGGGCTGGATCCTGCTCCCACTGACTCAGTGAGAATCCTGCCCATGACTTCAGGTGGAGTAATAATAGACCCATAAATGGCTGGAAAATGATCCCCTTTGCTACAGGACTTCCAGTGTTTGACTCTAGCAAATAATCTCCCTTCCCTGCCCTTTGACCACTAGCTCAGTGTCTGCTCTGGTGATGATTTCTGAAACTGAAAGACGAGGGTAGCTGTAGTGGTGAAAGCAGAGGTACTCCCTATATTCTCAAAAAGAAAAGGAGGACTTGTGGCACCTTAGAGACTAACCAATTTATTTGAGCATAAGCTTTCGTGAGCTACAGCTCACTTCATCGGATGCTATTCTTATGGGTAACTTTTTATTCTTGTTTGCCCTAGCATCTTTTTTTTTTTTTAAGTGAATTTGAGCGGGGCTTGTGAAATGTCCTGGCATGATAGCGCTGGCTGTTTCACCAATCTGCCTCAACCCTGACCAGGAGGGACCACCTATGGGAGAAGAAGGGACTTAAGTATCCATGACCCATTCTGTCTCTGACTCTCTGCTGAGCCTGCCTATAGGGTGCTGTTTATGGTATTTGTTGTGGACACTTGTCTTATAGCTGCTAACTGTGACAATTGAATTCATTTCACATATTACCAACGGTCAGGAGTCTGACTTCTATTCCCTGGTAACCCGAGCTGGATTTGAACAGGTGTCCTGTTGGATCAAGGCATTGTCATTATCCTGTGACAATTCCAGTTAATGGATAAAAAATATTAATTGTGATTAAAAAAATTAATTGCATGATTAATCACACAGTTAAACAATAATAGAATATCATTTAAAAATATTTGTGGATGTTTTCTACATTTTCAAATATATTGATTTCAATTACAACACAGAATACAAAGTGTACAGTGCTCACTTTATATTTGATTACAAGTATTTGCACTGTGAAAAAACAAAAGAAATAGTATTTTTCAGTCCACCAAATACAACTACTGTACTGCAGTCTCTTTATCATAAAAGTTGAACTTACAAATGTAGAATTATGCACAAAAAAACTGCATTCAAAAATAAAACAATGTAAAACTTTAGAGCCTGCAGGTCCATTCAGTCTGATGAAGGGTTATGTTCAATAACGATGCAAAGTAGTGCGGACTGACACATGTTCATTTTCATTATCTGAGTCAAATGCCACCAGCAGAAGGTTGATTTTCTTTTTTGGTGGTTCAGGTTCTGTAGTTTCTGCACCGGAGTGTTGTTCTTTTAAGGTTTTTGAAAGCATGCTCCACACTTCATCCCTCTCAGATTTTGGAAAGCACTTCAGATTCTTAAACTTTGGGTCCAGTGCTGTAGCTATCTTTAGAAATCTCACATTGGTACTTTGTTTGTGTTCTGTCAAATCTGCAGTGAAAGTGTTCTTAAAATGCCATGTAAATGCCTGTTTTCACTTTCTGGTGACATTGTAAATAAGAAGAGGGCAGCATTATCTCCTGTAAATGTAAACAAACTTGTTTGTCTTAGCGATTGGCTGAACAAGAAGTAGGACTGAGTGGACTTGTAGGCTCTGAAGTTTTATATTGTTTTGTTTTTGAGTGCAGTTATGTAACAACAAAAAATCTACATTTGTAAGTTGCACATTCATGACAAAGACAAATTGCACTACAGTACTTGTATGAGGTGAATTGAAAAATACTATTTCTTATCATTTTTACAGGGCAAATATTTGTAATAAATAATATACGCTGATTTCAATTACAACACGGAATATAACATATATGAAAATGTAGAAAAACATCAAAATATTTAATAAATGTCAATTGGTATTCTATCGTTTTTAACAGTGCGATTAGAACTGCGATTAATCAAGATTAATTTTTTGAGTTAATCTTGTGAGTTAACTACGATTAATTGAGAGCCCTAATTTTTTCCCTACCCCAAAATGTCCAACATTGAGTGCCTTTCGTGGAATACTCATCAGTCACGTGGATAGAAATAATTTTAACCATAGGTACAATTTACAATTATCTAACTTTTCTTAGAGCAACTTGTATGGACTGTCCCTGTCTCTTGAAACTCTGTCACCATCGAGACCTCTTTTCTAAAACGATTCATCAAATGAATGCTCCTGGCAACTCCAATGCCCTAGATGAACTCCTTATGCTGTTGGAGGAGGGAATTATTTTGACGTGTGCCATGACTGCCACTTACTAAATGTAGTTTTCTTTTAGTACCCATCTCCATAGTATCCAAACCATATCTAAAAACATGATTTACTATTAAAAACAACCCCATCACCTGGGAGTCCATATGCACCAGCAACAACCTGGAACACTTTAGGTATATACTAAAAAAACACATTGGAAGTTGGGGTCATAATCTTTGAGACCCTATTTTTGCCACTACTTGTGGTCGACTGGCTTTCCCCATTCCTCTTCAAGGATTACACTTTTTAGCAGCTTTCTCAATGGAGTGCTCCAGAATAGGTATTGCTTTCTCCCCAGTCATCTCTCACAAGGGGGCAGCAGGCTCTTTCCTGAATGGACATATCACAATGACCTTGCCTCACAACAATCTGAAATTCAAACATCTCAATCTCTCAGAATACAGAGATAAATCAAACTAAAACCAAGGAGACAGCACATGTAACACATCTAGCCCTGTACAAGGCAAGAATTAAGCTCTCTAGGTACAGTTTGTGCTGCTACAGTGAAATATGTAATAGCTTACATGTCTAGGCTGTGCATCCTTCCTCTCCTTGTTGCAAGGGTAGCCTGTGGGTGAGGCAGCTTCTCCCCTCTCTCAAGAGCTGCCTTCTTCCTCTTGTCCTTTAAGATCCATGAAGATACTTAGGTGTTTAAGTATCAGGTATAGGCACCTAAGTCCCTGCTTTGGCTCCATCGTGACCCACAAAATTCCTGCCAAACCCTGTAGGCGCCTAAACTCACTCAGCACTGAAATTGTCAAGGTAAAAGTTTCCAAGGCACCAAGTTTCTGCCTCTGGGCATCCACTCTGCTGCCTCCCTCTAGGCAGCCAGACTCCTGTCTTCTGCCTAAACCCCACAGTGATTCACAAACCAGGGGAAGATAGGTGACCAAATGCTTAAATCACATGCAGGGCCTGATCCAGTAGGTGTACTCAGAGGCCTCCTACTAAACCAGATCCCAATCAGTGTCTCTTCAGTGGAGGTGGTGCTGCTGCTACCCACCTTATAACTTTGAGCCTAGTAGTTAGAGCATTCACTGAGGATATGGGAGACTGAGGATCAATTCCCTCCTAATTACCAGAGAGGGAGAAAGAACTTGAACAGGGTCTCCCACCTCTCAGAAGAATGCTTGATCCACTGGGCTGTGAGATTTTCTGATGTGGGGGCTCTCCTGTTGAAGCTATTCCAGTGTGGTTAAATAATGAAAGCATGGCTAGGCCAGGGGAAATGGATCTTGCGTCTCCCACCTCCCAGATGGATGCCCTAACCACCAGACTGCAAGTTCATTTTCACTCTGCCCAATGACTGTTTAAGCCAAACAAGCATCAGAATATCCCATAGCTCAGTGGTTAGACCACTCAGAGGTGGGAGCCAGATATATAAAAACCTCATTTTGTGTAGTGTCAGAAAGGGCATACATAATACCACCAGGTCTTGCTTAGCACTTTTCATCAAAGCACCTCACAAAGCTGAGTAAATATCATTATCCCCATTCCCCACCCATGGATAAAGCACCTTACCCAGGGCCACCCTGCAGCAAAATTAGGAGTAGAACCCAGGTCATCTGAGGCTCAGTCTAGTGTTCTAGCCTCTGGGCCACACTATCTTCCTGCAGTAGTGTTTTATAGTTGGTATTGGTGCAGGTTAGGACCCTGATGGAAGAGTCAGGTTTGTTTGTCCATTGGTATATTTGGATGATTATCCAAAAACTATATAGTTTTTCTATACTACCTACAAGAAATAGTATTAGACCTGATTTACAGAGGTACTGAGGACTCAACTCCCAGTAAAATAGGCCAATTAAGCCTATTCTAAACTTAAAAGTTTTGCTTGTATAGCTATATCAGTATACCCTTCTAGTGAAAATGAAGCTAATACCATCAAAAAGGTTCTTTTGATAGTATGGCTTACAGCAGTGGTTCCCAGTCTTGTTCTGCCGCTTGTGCAGGGAAAGCCCCTGGCGGGCCGGGCCGGTTTGTTTACCTGCCGCGTCCGCAGGTTCGGCTGTTCGCGGCGCCCAGTGGCCGCGGTTCGCTGCTCCAGGCCAATGGGAGCTGCTGGAAGCGGCGTGGGCCATTGGCCTAGAGCAGCGAACCGCGGCCACTGGGAGCCGCGAACAGCCGAACCTGCGGACGCGGCAGGTAAACAAACCGGCCCGGCCCGCCAGGGGCTTTCCCTGCACAAGCGGCGGAACAAGATTGGGAATCACTGGCTTATAGCAATTCAGTGAACGAAATAAGGTGTACTTGCAAAAGCACTTTTATGCTGGTATAGAAATGTCATGGAACACTTCTAATTGACATTGCTATGCTGTCAGAAGATTCTAGTGTAGACATGGCCTTACTTTTCTGAGGTTTTATTGACCAGAATGTTGCAATTTGTGGGAAAATGGCACATGGTTATGCACTGGACTGTTCTAGATTATATGGCCTGCTGCACACCACACCTTAGTCTTGTGGAAAATTACATTCTGTGCCAAGGCAAGATGTAGCAAAACGACAGAAAATAGTTTTTTTTAGAAAATAGTAGTTTATCTCAAAGAACACTGGACCAATATAGCTGTGAACACATCAACAGTGTTTGCTTTTTGCAGTAGTTTTGGTTTACGCAATAAATACCTTGGCTCTCTAACAAGAATGGGATTCAGCCTTACCTGTATAATGTACCAAAACTATACACATTTTTAATTTCAGAGATGAATTCCAATACAGTCAGCTTTGCCTGACAAAGCTTTGCTCGGTTCTGATCTAGCACAATTCCTCAATAACAGCAGTGCAGTGCTCCAGCCTCTGTTCTAGCTACTGCTCCATGAGAATACTGATCTTTTTACCTGCAAGATCGGGCCCTCATGCTAACTTCTCTAAGAGAGCACGCAAGACCTGCTTCTTGTTGGTACTCTGATTCACTAGGCCATTTCTTGCACTGAAGTCTACGTCATCTTCAAAGTATACACACTCTGGAGGCAAAGAAGCATTCCAGGAATAATGGCTGCATGGAAGTGCTCTGCTACAATTCTCTTTGGGGTTTTTGAATATTGTTTAAACTGTACAGTCTCTTGAGTTTCTTGAGCCCCTCTTTGTGTATATCTTTCTCTTGGTTTGAGCTGTATCTCTGATAAGATAATAGCTGAGAATTTTTTTTCTAACTGCAGCAAGACCTATGGACCTGATTATATGATCAGGTGCTGGCATTTGTTGTAAGGGATAGAGACACAGGTGGTGGTTTTGCCTACTTTCCTGTTTTCTTTTCCCCTTTCTTGCAATGTGGGTTGTGGAATCTCAGAAGTGAGACAGTTGGCTAAGATTTCCCTGAAAGCTTCTAGCCACTTAAATACTTGATGAAAACCTGAGAAGATCAATGTATCTGTGTTGTGTGTAAAGACTGCACATAAGCTTGATATTTTAGAAGAAATCATACAAAGTATAAGTAAGTCAGAGTTTGCTAAATTCCAGTACAGAGCAGGAAGACAGTTTTGGGAGCCTTGGGGAAGGAACACTTCCTACTGTGTAGAAAAATGGAGGCCCTGGACAATTTTTACAGGATCTTGCTATTCATCGCTTGGCGGCACCTTCTCGTAGCTCATCTAGGGAATTATTTCTCCACATCCTGTCCAGCAGTCACGCAGTCCATTGCTTTAGTCTCTCGCTCAGCAGCTGCTCTCCCACTACTCTGGAGCTGTTTTTCAAGGTTGGGTGACAAATTATATATGTGTTGTTCATTATGATGCTATGGAATCCTCCTCCTTCTAAGGGATCCTGAGTTTATCTTGTTTTTATAGTTTTAAAAATAATGCTAACCAAGTACTGGAAACTTTCAATTTGCATGTTGACAACCATTCCAAATGGGCAAATTTTAGATTGCTGTATCAGTTTGATATTTCCAGCTGCAGTAGAGTTCCATTTCTGGAGAATAACTCCATGCAGTTCTTCTGTTAGAAGGAATTTTAAAAGTGAAAGTCGGATATCCCATTTAAAGATCCTTCATTGCTATTGGATCCCTGAATAGGTCTGTATCTAGGCTTAATTTAATTTTCTCATTGAATCTGGTGAATATCCAAAAATCATTCACTGAATACCACTGTCATAACATGTGTGATTTCTTCATATTTGCTAAATTTATGGACATGTCTTAAAACATCGTTCCTCAGAGTCCAATCCAGCCTTTCCTGTTTGTATTAACCTCATTCTGAGATCCAAGGTTAATTTTTTATCAACAGTGGCCCCAGTCTTGAGCCCACCTTATTAATGATTTCTACACCAATCTCCTCACTCCAGGCAGTGTTTTGTTGTTAAACGGTGCTTTTGCATTGCTTCGAGCCTAATCTTCCCAACTGGCTAAGATTGTGTGGTTTATCTGGTAAATTTGGTTGGGTTAAGATCTAGAGCTTGACTAACAGCATTTCTTTCTTGGCATAGATAGATTCTAGCAATATTACATTTCCTTTGAAGTTTGGAATATTCTATAAAAATCCATCTGCATATAAATGTCCGGTCTCCAGAATACGCTCATGAATTCAATTAGGACAACATATTTTGTGCTGTTCATATTGATTTCTGGAGTCATCCACATGGATGATTTTATATATTAATACAAGCTAAATTGCAAGCATTTAGACAATATGAGATCGATTTCCCTTGTGTGAATAGATTGTATTACTTTAATGGTAGAGGTTTTAGACGTTTCTTCTCAGTCCCTCACCAGTCACACATTTCAGTGGTATTATTCCTTAGCCAGTATAAGGTTTGTATGTTAGTACAAAGCATTGTGATATATGTCATTGGGGAAACAATATCTTTTCTTCACTTCCTGCTTCAGGATGTTTATATATAACTGTAAAGATATAATTAGCATTTCCAGTTTTATTTTTAAGATAAATTATAGATTAAAAAAAAGTTTTAGGCTGATTTAGCGGTTGGTTCAACCAGCAGTAAATTAACCTATTTTTTCTCCTTTGTGAGAAGAGAAGATTCAGTTAGATAAGGAAAGAACTGAAGACAAACTAGTCTGTACAAACTTGTCAGAACCCCGGCCTTGATGGCATCTTGGTGGAATTCCAGAAGGTTACAAGAACAGTTAATAATCAGTTTATTATACCTTTATGAATCAGCAGTGAAGGATAATTTATTAGCACAGAGTGTAAGAACTCATCTTATCTCACTGATTCTGATGCTTAAAAAGGACCCTGAATGATGGATGAACGACCACCTGACTTCCCTAATAAAGATTGCAAAATCCTAGCCGAGGTGCTTGCTGACATATTTCAGTCAAATCTGGTAAAACTTGTCCATCGGAAACAAGGCCATTTAAGAACAGGCTATCCAGCAATTGTGCCAGATTGCTCTTAGATTTGATTAATTTATACCTGGTCATAATACATAGAGCAAATTATTATTTAGCAATTTATCTAACCTAGTTCAAGTAATGACTGCATTTTTATTTTAATTGGAAAAGAATATTGCTGTTAGGAATGTATTTAACTTCATTTTTGTTTGGTTACTGTTTTTAACTCCTTCCTGTGCTGTTTGTACACTGATGTGGGAGAATGTATTCCAGGGGTTTTGCCTTGACTTACTGATCTCTCTTGAGGCTCTGACAGGCATGTTGCAGTAGAATGTTGACTCTTGTTTTTATATTAGTTTGATGATAGAAAAGCTGGAGTTAGAATCTTTTGATCATACATCTTACTAGGTATGGTTATTCACACAATTTATTTGCATTATAATTTATAGACTAGTGTAAATTTACAGTATAATTTTTCTTAATAATTTCCTCTGAATGTTAAATGAAATTATATCCAAAGATAGTCACTTAAATTTTGCAGTAGAGGATATTTTTACCCTTTTTACTCCATGTCTTCTAGCTTAACATGGTTTTAATTATTTTTCTAAAGGGTATTGGACACAATGACAATCACTGTAGTGTATGATAACTCTGAAGCTATGGAGCTCTGTGCTTCTCAGCATCTGTATCTTAAACCAGTAGCAAAACTGACTATCAATGTGGTGTTTCCAGAACACACAGAATCTACTCGATCTTTCTCTAAGTGGGAAGTGATGGACAAGCTGAAGAACATGATTTGTCCAGACCAATTTACTACTGTTAGGGTTTCAAAGAGCACTAAGGATTTCATTCGATTTGAGGGAGAGGCAGAAACTAAAAGGTTGATCCTCACACTTAAGGAAAAACTGCATGGAAAGGTAATAAAACTGAATGGTTTCAAAGATGACTTGAAAGTGATGGCCACCGAGGCACACACTGACTTTCCAACTCCACAGGAGTGGGCATCTTACCTGAATAAAAGAGAGATTACGAATGAAGACCTTACTGAGCAAACCGCTGATATTCCTGATTGCATCTATTTTGAAGGTTTGCCATGCAAATGGTTTGCACTAAAGGGCTCAAATAATGAAAAGCCAAGTGAAGATGTTTTAAGAGTGGTGTTCGAAAGCTTTGGAAAGATCAAGAACATAGATATCCCTATGCTTGACCCTTATAGAGAAGAAATGGTGGGAGGAAATTTAAATAACTTCCTTTTTGGAGGTCTACAGACATTTGAAGCTTTTATCCAGTACCAAGAGTATACGGCTTTTGTGAAAGCTATGGAGTCACTTAGGGGAATGAAGCTGATGTTTAAAGGGGATGATGGAAAAGCTCTGGCATGTAACATGAAGGTAAGCATCACTGGCTATATCTTTTGATACTGCCAATGCTATATTTGCCCAAATACAGTACCATAAAGACTTCCATAGTCAAATATCAGAAACGGTACAGCAGAAAAGTGTAAAATTCCCTGGCCCAACCAAGACTTATCTGCTGAGACTGCCATGAAGGTCATCACTGCTATTTGAAATCTAAAAAAAAAAAAAAAAAAAGACAAATTGGGAACTTTTTGCTAGCCAGTGTAAACATTTAAATGATGGATACTTGAGGTGGGAATTTAGACCTGGAGCGCTGCTGTTTGGGAGAGGGAATAGGTGGATGGCTCTCACAGCTATTCATGCTCATAGTCCCCCACCTAGCAAATAAAGCTCTGACTTTTTTGCTGGTCCATTCTCACTGAGTTAAGGTTCACAGATGAGCCAGCCACAAGGCTGTCTCTTCAGAAGCAGCATTCACTCTGGTTTGTTTGCATAAAGATTTTGGTTTGTATGGATTTGCTGCTTGGTTGAGTATTGTTGACCTCTCAATCCAGATTTTAGTGAAGATTTTCACCCTTTATTATGACTGTGACCTGGAAAAAGTATTTGCTTGTTGATTTCCTGAAACCTTTTTCTCCACTGGTAAAATAAAAGTGAAAAGTTACCAAGTTTATGAATCAATTAGATGAGCACAGGAGCTGAAAGGAATGCAGTCAAGACTTGGAGGAGTTGTTCTGAAGACATTGGTTTCTGCATTGGTAAACCCCAAGCAGAGTCAGCAATAGCCTTCCTTTCTGCCTTTTTACAAAAAATGTTCGCAGTCACTTTGAACCTGTACTAGCAGGATGTATCCTTGCTTCTCTTGGCACTGTGCTTTGATTAAGGTGGATATAGTGAATAATGTTGGAGGATGGATTTGTTTGTGGCATACCCTGGGTCACGCTGTGAAAGGAAATTGGAGAGCTGCATGCTCACAAAAGCTCATAGCTGCTTAGCAGCGTTCATCTAAAAGTCAGATTTAGTCATTGAGATAAGCCTGGTTCCAAGAATTTTGCTCAGCACAAAGCATTTAAATTATCTCTGATTCTTGAATATGTAGCAGTCATTACACAGTGGTTTAGAAATCATGCTCCAAATGACTTGGTTTCCCAGCTTGGATAAAGTGCTGTTTGCGTGGATGTTTTCTTTTAATGTCACCACAGCATCACATTGAGTTAAACAGTTCTCAACAGACAGTCTCCCCTGCTGTACCAACCAGCCCACCGTAATCCACTGATGGTTTAAAGTCAGGCAAATGCTTGACCAAGAAGATGTGGCTCACACAGTGCACTTAAAATAAGTCAGCCTGTCAGACAGAGGGAATGCAACAGCCAGGAATTCTCCACTGAAAATGCCCAGCCTCCAATCCCCAAAATTGAACATTTACAGGCTGTCAAAGGTGTATTGTCACAGTTTATGAGCCTCTAATGGCACAGGGTAAGGAGACATTTGTGAGTAATGCTCATGGTAACATTTGAGAACAGGACATAGCTATTCGTGTGAATTCTGCAGGTCATATTCCAGTCTCCTCAGCTAGAAAGTGGCAGAAAGAAACTCATGTTTCAAATATAATTGTGCAGAAATAGATTAGAGACTTTCTAAGTTGTATAGGCTGTTTGTGTTTTATTTGTGTAAATAAGGTGACCCAGTAGATTGACAGGTTTGTGGTCTTTTTTAGGGCTGTTGATTAATCGCAGTTAACTCACGTGATTAACTCAAAAAAATTAATCACGATTAATCGCCGTTTTAATCGCACTGTTAAACAATAGAATACCAATTGAAATTTATTAAATATTTTGATGTTTTCTACATTTTCATATTGTATTCTATGTTGTAATTGAAATTAAAGTGTATATTATTTTTGATTACAAATATTTGCACTGTAAAAATGATAAAAAGAAATAGTATTTTTCAGTTCACCTCATACAAGTAGTGCAGTGCAATCTCTTAGTTGTGAAAGTGCAACTTACAAGTGTTGACTTTTTTTTGTTACATAACCACTCTAAAACGAAACAATGTAAAACTTCAGCGCCAACAAGTCCACTCAGTCCTACTTCTTGTTCAGCCAATCGCTAAAACAAGCAAGTTTGTTTTCATTTACAGAAGATAGTGCTGCCCTCTTCTTATTTACAGTGTCACCAGAAAATGAGGACAGGCATTTGCATGGCATTTCAGTAGCCGGCCTTGCAAGGTATTTACATGCCAGATATGCTAAAGATTCGTATGCCCCTCCATGCGTTGGCCTCCGTTCCAGAGGACATGCTTCCATGCTGATGACGCTCGTTGAAAAAAAATGTCAATTAAACTTGTGACTGAACTCCTTGGGGGAGAAATGTAAGTCCCCTGCTGTTTTACCCGCATTCTGCCATATATTTCATGTTACAGCAGTCTTGGATGATGACCCAGCACATGTTGTTCATTTTAAGAACACTCTCACTGCAGATTTGATAAAATGCAAAGAAGGTACCAATGTGAGATTTCTAAAGATAGCTACAGCACTTGATGCAAGGTTTAAGAATCTTCAGTGCCTTCCAAAATCTGAGAGGGATGAGGAGTGGAGCATGCTTTCAGAAGTCTTAAAAGAGCAACACTCCGATGCGGAAACTACAGAACCCGAACCATCAAAAAAGAAAATCAACCTTCTGTTGGTGGCATCTGACTCAGATGATGAAAATGAACATGCGTTGGTCGCATTGCTTTTTTCAGTATCATAGAATATCAGGGTTGGAAGGGACCTCAGGAGGTCATCTAGTCCAACCCCCTGCTCAAAGCAGGACCAATCCCCGATTTTTGCCCCGATCCCTAAATGGCCCCCTCAAGGATTGAACTCACAACCCTGGGTTTAGCAGGCCAATGCTCAAACCACTGAGCTTTGGATTGTTATTGAGCAGAACCAGCAGTGCAAGTAGGCTGGTACGCTCCTGTACGCCATACTGGCAAGCTATTTATAGCCAGTACAGCATACCCCAAAAAACACAGCAGCAGGAGAGAGCTGGGGGCTCTGCTCCTTTCCCCGCTGGGAGGGGTAGCAGCAGGGAAAGGAGCATAACGCCAGCAGCTCCTCTGGAGGCTCTACTGCTGACCCCCAGTGTCACACCCCCCCCCCCCCAGCCCTGTCTCTGGCGCAGCAGCAGGAGAAGGACAGAGTCCCGTCCCGTCCCGTCCCCCCCCCCCCCGGCCTTCACTCCAGGTACCATGGGATGGATGTGGGGAGGGGACGGGGAGAGCATGGGGGTCCCGGGCTGGGAGGAGTCACAGAGGGAGGTAACATGCTCCCCTTAGCTGGTGGCCCGCCCCCCCCCCGTACTGGTAAGACATGGATTTTACTTGCACCACTGAGAAGAACCCATCAGCATGGACGCATGTCCCCTGGAATGGTGGTTGAAGCATGAAGAGACATATGAATCTTTAGCGAATCTGAAATGTAAATATCTTGTGACACCGGCTACAACAGTGCCATGAGAATGCCTGGTCTCACTTTCAGGTGATGACGTAAACAAGAAGCGGGCAGCATTATCTCCTGCAAATGTAAACAAACTTGTTTGAGTGTTTGACTGAACAAGAAGTAGGACTGAGTGGACTTGCAGGCTCTAAAATTTTACTTTGTTTTACTTTTGAATGCAGTTTTTTTTAATACATAATTCTACATTTGTAAGTTCAAGTTCATGATAAAGAGATTGCACTACAGTACTTGTATTAGGTGAACTGAAAAATACTATTTTTTTTGTTTTTTTACAGTGCAAATACTTGTAATCAAATATAAAGTGAGCACTGTACACTTTGTATTCTGTTATAACTGAAATCAGTATATTTGAAAAGGCAGAAAACACCCAAAAATATTTAAATAAATGGTATTCTGTTATTGTTTAACAGTGCGATTAATCGCATGATTAATCACAGTTAATTTTTTTAATTGCACGATTAATCACAATTTTTTAAAATTGCTTGACAGCCCTAGTCTCTTCATCATTCATGAACAATCCTGCCTTCTAATTCTGTTTCTTCTGGAACAGGTGACTTTTGATACAACCAAACATTTCAGCAAAGGAGCCATCAAAAAGAGAAGGCTGGAAAGACAAAAGCTGCAAGAGCTAGAGCAAGAAAGAAAAAGGGAAAAAAAGAAAGAGGAAGAGGAGGCTGCAAGGTGAGAAACTTGTTTTGAAGGAGTGTTCTACTTTCTTTACATTTACTCCACGTCTTGCTCCCAACAGAATCTCAAGAGAGGAACACCCAATACAATAGCCCCAAACCTAGATAATGTTAAGGGTTAGATAATGTTAAAATGAAAGCTGAATATTGTCTAATTCATATGGTGTAACAAAAAAAAAAAAAGCATAGTATCTTCAATTATGTAGGTGTCACATAAACGGAACTAGATTAAGAGAAAAAAGAACAGGAGGACTTGTGGCACCTTAGAGACTAACAAATTTATTTGAGCACAAACTTTCGTGAGCTACAGCTCACTTCATCAAATTAAGAGAGGAGTAGTAGACCTACACAGTGTATAGAAAAAGGGGATTGTGATTGGAGAAGTGGTCTTGAGCTGTCTAGACATCTGCCAGACCCTCTCAATTAAAAACACTATGTGCCCTTGTTGCTCCCTCTCCTGTATCTCTCCTCTTACAGATCCAGGGTTTGTTTTTCTTTCAGTCACTCTAGTAATCTATCAAACTCAGTTTAAAAGTTTGTTTTAAACTGTGTGAAGACCTAAGGCAGGGATTGGCAACCTTTGGCTCACTGCCTGCCAGGGTAAGCCCCCTGGCGGGCTAGTGTGTTTACTTGCCGTGTCCGCAGGTTCAGCCGGTCGTGGCTCCCAATGGCCATGGTTTGCTGCTCCAGACCAATGGGGGCTGCGGGAAGCGGCATGGGATGTGCTGGCCATGGCCTGGAGCAGTGAACTGTGGCCAGTGGGAGCCGCGATCGGCCGAACCCCGGACGTGACGGGTAAACAGCCCCCCCACCCAGGGGCTTACCCTGGCAGGCCATGGGCCAAAGGTTGCTGATCCCTGGCCTAAGGAGTCCTTTCTGCAGTGGAAATGTAGATCGGTAAATAGCTGAGACAAGATCAGCCCAGGAAGGTGGCAAATCATCCTCCTGGCCATGTTTCCAGTGGCTGAACATATGGTTACAGAAATGTATTGACTGCTCAAAGATTAAAGGTAAATCTTAGATCAGTTGTATTACTCAAAGCGGTCCTCACCAGATCACTAACAATGTGCCCTGTAGTGGAAAGGGCAGCAAAACAGCATATTTTAACAGTTTTAACAGCGAGGGTAGCCTACAGTCAGTTTGGATATGTGCTTAATCATAGAATCCTAGATAGGTAGGGCTGGAAGGGACCTGAGGAAACCCAGGGAGCCGGTTGGCATCTTGTTTGTAGTATGTCATGATTGCTGTAACACCACAAAGTAGTGGTGTCATGCACCCTAGCTGTGTCCTGAAGTAAAATTAATATACAGTATAGAACATAGGAAGGATTCCACATGCCTCAGCCTTGGCTGGAGAGTCCCAGTGTGTAAGTGATCCCTCCTCATTGCTATTATCTTGAAGGCAGTGTTGTCAGATGTATCTGAACTATCACACTGTATTAAGTTCCTACTTCTATAGGGAGTGTTTAGCATCTACCCTATCTGCCACTGGAAATTATTCCATGAATATATCCATTGATGTAGAAACGAGAGTCGAAATGCTAAATCTAGCAACTCTGATGCAATATCTCTAAATCTATCACCAAATTTAATACCCATATTACTTGAATTTTTCTTCAAAATATTTAGTTTTTATACATTGACTTCTAGGACAGTTTTGTGTGCATAAGGAATGCAGGATTAGGTCCAAAAGTTTGTGAACCTTAGTTATTGGTGTTAACTGAAGATGAAGGAGAAGGGGGCAAATCATTCTCTAGCTGTGACCTGGAAGAGACTATAATATGAACAACCTCTGTGTTCTTTAGCGAGAGGTAGATTATTATTAGAAGAGTCTTAAGAGTACAAGAGAAACTCAAACTGTCCTAAATCTTTGCATCTATTGGATGTATGTTGGTTGTATGCCATTAACTTTAAAACGTGCTACCCTAGGCACAAGGATTTCTTGATTGTAACAGCAAATGGATTCCTAGCATTGAGTCACTTGCTGTTAGCACACTAAAATCCTACTTTTCACCCTCCAGGGGTTAACATGTAAAATGAGTGTCATCTAAATTGTCCCATATTAATAATTACCTAGAAAAAGACGTGATGATGAAAAAAATGCTCGAGAAAGAAAAAGGAAGGCTAAGCTCAAGAGGAGAGAACACAGGCAGATAGATCGGGATGAGAAACGCCCAAGAAAGCAGCAGAAGGTAACAGCTGAAGAAGAGCAGTGGCCAGAGAATATGCCTGAATGGGAAGAGAGGAAATATCTACTAGCTCAGAGAAGAGTGGAGTCTATAAGGCTGCTTACCGTGCTGTTAAGCCGAGTAAAAGTAAGAATATTTTTAAAAAATATTCTGTTTTAAAGGATGTTTAGTAGAGCTTGAAAAATTTACCAGATAGCTGATGGCCAGAGGCTGATGAGAAGGATGACTTGGAGTTGGGGAAATGCTAGCAAGGCCTAATAGCAAACCCCTAGTGATAATCTAGCCCTTCTTCACATATAAATATAAGGGAAAAGGTGTTGGGATTCAGTCCCTGCTTGAGGCTTCATCTTTTGGATCAGTCTCTGTCCAGTAGGTGTCTGGTAAATTGAATCAGTTCCCAGGTTCTCATTGTCATGTTGAAAAGAAGAAAGGCTACTTCTATTATAATCCTGCCCCAGCATCCTGTGAGATAGTCTCTTCTATTTTTGGGCCCTCTTGTCCCATAAATAGCTCCAGTTATTGCCCTACTGCTCAGAGCTTCCCCAACAGCAGAGTAAAATTGACATGCATCCTGTCAGTTTCACTGCTGCCCAGGGAATACAGCATATCCAAAGTAAGGCTAACACACCTTTTGTCAGTTTCACTCTGCTGATGCTTTGGGATAATCAGAGCAAGAGAAGCAGTACTGGAGGTGTTTGTCTACCTGCTCACTGTATTGATTTGTATTTGAAGGATTATCTTCTTAGCTACATGGACTAGAAACTTTTAAAAATGAAAGCTTAAATACTGCAGTAATTATTAATGTAGGCTACATCACTTGCCAGGGAAAGCTTACTACTGGCCACTGACAAGTGGATTTTTTTCAACCCCTGATGTTTAATATTTCTTACAGTACTTAGGAACCCCCATCAACAAGCACCTGCTAGAGGCCACACCAGCCAATCTGTGTGAGTTAGTGCTCTTTAAAACTAACTGGCAGCAGAACATTTTAAATTCTTTAGAAGGTGCGGGTGTCTTAAACAAACCTTTTTTAAAGGGTGAGGAACTAGCCAGAAAAGATTTGGAGAGAGATGTAGGGCCTTTTAATCCCTTGATTACATTTGCAGCTGTTACAAAATAGTGTAATTTAAAGCAGTTTATCTAATAATTCTTAGATAAGATATTCAATTTACAAAAGCGCAGCACTTTACTTTAGCGGAATTAGCAAAGTTAGTGCCATGCTATAGTCAAAGTGGGCGAATAAAATGATTTTTGTAGTGGATGCAAATCAGGTAAAAGCAGCAAGGTTAGCTCAATATAGCCAATGACTTTTATTGAAAGGGCAATATTCTAGATAATTAATCCTGTGACATAGTGAGTACCCTCAACTTTCACAGAAGAGCTGCAGAACCTTATATAATCATGGCCTGCATTAGATACAGTAGGTCAGATTCTGCCGTTATACCTGGACAGCTGCCCTGACTTGAGCAAAGTTGCACTGCCTGTAAGTTAGTTCACAATTTAGCTTGGTATAGTTTCGCTACAAATTTTGTCTGTTACATTCATATTGTAATTTTCTCTTTGATTTTATTTAAAGGATTTTGCACAGTTGACCGGCCAAAAAGTGGAGCCCTTGCTGCACCCTGAAGATATAAGAAAGGATTGCTTTCCTGAGACAGAGTTACAAAATGCAGACAGAGCAGAGCAGAGAGAATCCCATTATCTTCTACACAAAAAACTGAAGGATAAGAAAAAATTTAGGAGTCAGTTCTTCCAAACGGTTAACACCTCTTTTAGTGAGGAAGAGGTGCCAACTAATCTGCCTGCATCACCTTGTCATCTTGTAAGAACGATCTTAAATGATCCAACTGCAACAGCAAGCACTGGTAAATTAACTGGCAGGGATGATTACAGCTCCTCTGACGGTGGGTCTTTACAGATTACAGTTACTCAAGACTGCAAGGTTATAGAATCTCTTGAGAGAGAGGACTTTCCCCCTTTGAAGACATTACACTCTGGAAAAGTGTCTGGTACAGGGTACTCCAAAAAGCAAAAGATTTATGAAACTGATGAGTTTATACATTATTTATTAAACTATTATCAAACTCCAAGCTACGCACGTGTCTGCCTAGAGCCAAAAAGCACCGTTAGCAAGTCTTGGTGGCAGAGGATAGTGTCTGATAATGGGAATGGCTTTCAGATCAACTTGAAGAACAAATATGGGCAACGCTTTACAGAAGTGAGTTTTGTACAAAACCTTGACAAGGGAAATTGTAGCGGGGATGATAATTATAGATGGGAGATCACAATTCGGAAATCTGAGCCTACAGAGAGTGTGTCAAAAAACAAGGCCTATGCTGGAGGGTTTACAAAAAAGTTCCAAGTACAGTGGAATGATTCACTTGACATTGCTAACTTACCATATGCTGAATTTAAAAATTCTTCTTTTGGAAGCATTAATACTAGTCATGATAAAGAATCCAATCAAGACAATAACAGAAGAGTAGTTGCCCCACCATATAAACCCTCAGGCTCTGCATACAAATTAAAGGATTTAATGGAAGAGATCAGTAGTGATTCTGAGTATTTCAGTGAGGCAAAGAGAACAGAAAGAAGATATAAAGATGTTTACAGTGATGGCAATAAAGCATGCTCCCTCCCAAGAGAGATGGAGAGAAAATTCCTTGTCTGTGTTAAAAATGTAGGTCAAAGTTATTCAGAAAATGAATCCAGCAAATGTGGCTTCTGTTCAAATTCTACCCATGGTGGCTTGACAAAGCAGTGTAGACATAAGCTTAAAAAATCATTCAAGAGGTGCAGTAGTAAATTGAGACATGAAGGGCGAAAAAGTGAGTGGAAATCCAATGAAGAGGTGATAAATACCCACAAAAAGAAGAAAAAGAGAAAAAAGCTCTCCCCTAACATTTTACCTGATGAACATGGCTTCTCTGAAATGGATAGTTGGAGACAGTTGGAATCTCTAAAAAAGATACAGAGAAAATGTAGCAAAATGTTCCACCATAAGATGAAATTCAAAACACTTCATGTGATGGCAGCAGCATCATCAAAAGATGCCATTCATACTGATGCCTCTCTGCTGCAGAGATCTCGCCAAAGGGCAGGTGAGGTGGGGGAAGTGAAATAGAACCAAGATGACACTCCTCAATTTGACAGGTTTAAGGATTCTGTGCAAAATTATGGTTACTTACACAATCACTCTGGCAGTCAAGCTCACCTAACTGTTGAAAGTAGTTTAGAAGGAGGAGACGCTGATTCCTCTGACACCTAAAGGACTTGACAGTCTGTTAGTTCAGCAGCACTCTTTGGGGTGGGAGACTGGACCGCAGCACCATGCCTGGGCCCTGCAGGGTGCCTACTTGCATTTGAGTGGCTGTGAGAGTATGCTGTAGTTACACCCCTGTGCAGGGTTCCTGTCTTTATGCACCTAAGCAGCCAGGTTAAAAGTGGCCTGGAGATGATACCTTTGTCTAGGTGCTGCTTCTCCTGGTGGCAGAAGCCACCGTCATTCTTATTTATCCTGGACCTGGGAACCTAAGAAATCCTGCTGCTGAAGTGAAGCAAGAAGAGGCTCCCAAGGACTTGGTCTAAGGTTTAAATTAATAAAAGGGGAGAGCGAGGGACCAATCAGCTCCCCTCCTTCTCTGGCTGGCTAATAGATGAGAGCCTTTGGAGGAGGGGCCATCCTGCATTTCCACAGTATCTGCTCCCCCCATGCCTCTGGGACTGTCCCAATCACTGCCATCAAGTTTCTACCTGTTGAGCTGGGTGAGTTGCAGTCTTCTCTTGGCAGTGAAAGATTTGCAAAGAACTATGTAAAAGCTGAATAGTAGTATTTGTCCACCAAACTGGATGGCAGTGTATCTATCGCAAATATATGCCTGTCCTGTTACACTTGTTAAGATTTGTTGGGGATAAATTGTGCACAACCACCAGCTCATCACATTTTGGAAGGAGAATATGTGCAATTCTGAAGATCAGTAAAATAATGTGGTGGCTAAAATTCCAGTTCTAGAGACATATTACTATAGAAAAATTAACTGGGAAAGAACACAGCGTACAGCACAGGTGGGGATGAAAATATTGTTTGAACTGACTGAGGCACTATACAATTGGCCTTCTGATCTCCCAACAGGAATGAAATAATTCTCCCTTTTGGCTTTGAATCTTGATTCAGTCTATTATGCTTTAGCTACAAGGCTGCATCACTCCAGCATCTTTTTTCTGGGAAAATCTCCTTCAAATAACTTATTTTTTCTCCTTATCTACAGGAGATGAGAGGAAATTAACACTGAGGAAAGAGATGGATGCAGATGTTGGAGGATGTCTTGTTTCCTGTTGAGTTAACAAATCCATGCTCTGATGCTGTCTGTGGAGCAGAACCCAAAAGAGAATGCTGATTAGTTGCTAGCTAATGGCAATGAGACTTTGAAGCTGCTCACAAAAGCTTCTACCCCGGCTCTCCCCCCAAAAAGGCCTTTTATATGGCTCTAAGAAGTGAACTGTAAGGCCAGGTCTTTAGTGATTATAAGCAGTCTAAGATAGTCTATTTTGTTTAGACTCCTTTAATGCATGCTGGAGCGGTAGGACAGTGAAACAATCAAGTTAGTATAAGCTCCAAAAATAGAATCTGTAAGGATTTGGCATTGATATGAAACAAGACCAAAGCTATTGTGAACCAACTGCTGAGAGTTTTGAAGCTTAATGGGTTGAAGCCTCTGAGTGGCACCCAGCTAAGTCCAGGGGAGCCATAAAACATTTGCATTCTGGTATCTAGTAATTATTATACAGTTGAATTGATTGTGCACAAACCACTTATACACAGATGGAATAAATCTTTTAAGTACCCATATATTCAGAGTGCCTCCTCAGTCATATTGTTAATATGATGGGATGGCAAGAGGGTGGGGTATGGCAACCTTGCAATTCAGTTGTTGGGAGAGGGGTGGGGGGTGAAAACTTGCACAGTGTATTTCTAAATTTGAGAAAATACACCCTAGTACATTTTAACCTTCTCCGAGCAGCTACACTGAGAAAGTTCCTCAGCATTCCGTTAAAATTCTAGGAATGAGCCAGAAAACTTGACATTTTCCTGGGCTGATCTAAATCATTACACTGCCACTAGATTTAGCATTCCTGAGATGTTGAGTGAGGATATTCCAAACAAAGCTCTAAACGTTGAACAATGAAAGGAGATGATTTCAGCATGCTGACCATCAGCATGAAAGATTACCTTCAATACAGGGTGAAAATTGCTTGCAGGATTTCTAAGACGGGCCTTTCTGGAGGCACAAGCAGTGAGACAGCTACTTAGTTTAAGGTAGCTTACAGATAATTCCCAGAGAAGACTTCATTTTCAAAACGTTGCTAACTTTTATAAATCTCTGCTGCATGGAGACATGTGAAAATGCAGACTAGAAGCTTGACCTAGTATCTACATTTATTCAGTTCTCTCTCTTTAGCAGATAGCCACAGCTGCTCTTGGACAAAGTCCCTCATGAAGATGTAGATGGAAATGGAACAGATTCTGGTCTGAATTTAGACCAACATACTTACTGTTTCAGGTTTCATTTTAGTATGCTTTATTTATTACATGTCAAGATACTAAATGTAATGTAGCTGCCTTCATTACACAGCATATCATTCATGTTTGTAACCTCTGCGCTAATAAAGTAGTCGTAAAAATGTTTGCAGTTAATCATTCATGTTATATTGTGTTTCCCACTGCATTGTTCAATAGTGGTGACTTCTGCAGCCTTCTAAGCCAGGTTTTACCCCAGTCTATTCTTATTGTTAAAAACATGTTCATATGTTGAGTGCCTTTTTCAGGTTCACAGTAATCAATGACAAATGGTTGCTACTCAAACTACTGTTATGTATGACACCTTTTTGGTTGAAGACAGCTTCTTGCTGAGAATATCGTCTATATACTTTGGAAAACGTATCCCCCCCTGCTTTTTAAATAGTTGTAATGAAGACCAACTATTGCAATTGTTTACCATGTAAATATCTCTGTTCCACTGTAGTGGCATAAGTGTTTTTCCTCTATGCAATATTTACAGCCACAAAAAGCAAACTTTTCCCCCACTGATCCTGAAATGGCTATTTATGTACATAGGCTTAGGCACATTGCATTATATAATTCACACACTTACAGGTAAGGAAGTGACTTTATCTAGAACTGGAACGAAATATTTCTTAAGTGTAATTTTATGATAGTTTTGCACCATGCTGTCATCCTACTTAAAAGCAAATAAATATACTGATTCTATACTTGCTTTTTGCACCACCTAGATTCATTTACAAACAAGCAAATCCTGAATTTAAAATGTCCAATTTAGATAATAAAACACAAATAAAGTGAATAAAATGTAATATGTGCACTTTAAAATGAAAATGCCAATCTGATTGGTTTTACTTCATCATATTGAGATATGAAATAACTTTAGACATAATTTCAGCAAACTCTTTCCTTAGTAGTTTATAGATTGAATTGTTTAGATCCTACCCCCAGGTATTTTTTATTATTAATTTCCTTACCTTTCTTCCCAGACACACATTACCTGAGCCCCTGTAGTTTCATATTTTGGACTGTTCAGCATGATTTGTTTCATGGCCCAATATTTATTTACATTACTTTTGTAAAATAACTACAGAATTTTCTAAGACTTTGCTTTTAAACTTAAAACAAAAGAACTGTTGGTGTTTTTTGGTTAAACTTGTATATTGAGGTTGCTCAGAAATAAGATGTAATGTCTTAATTATGAAAGTTAAAGAATAAAATGTATTTTTATTTTATGTAAATCTCTTAAATGTTAATGTATAATATATTAAACTATGAAAAGTAACTTTCAGGTGTCTAATGATCAGGCACGCATGACAGTTGCTTATATAATTCCATTAGTTATTTGTATTGCATTAGTGCCTATCTATACTAGGATCCCAATCTGCTAGGCCCCGTATAAACAAAGAACAAAAAGATGGTCCCTGTCCCCAAAGAGCTTACAATCTCAGTAAGATACTTGCATGAACATAGTTAGAATACTTGTACTCCTGTTACAAAATGGGCATTAAGGACCAGATGCTGAGGGTTTGCCACTCACTACTGTAGTCAGGTGGAGTTTCCACTATTCAGCACTTCCCTAACAATGGTGTGTTCTACTGCATAATTACTGTAATAGCCAGGGTACTTATCCCGCAAAGATTTACATATGTTTAACTTTACATGCCATGAGTAGTCACACTGAAGTCAATTGGACTACTTAGAGTGTAATGTTAGGCACAGGTATAAGTCGTTTTAGGACAGCTGCCTAAAATGTGTTAGCAAGATCATAGCCCAGTTTAAGGCTAATACACCATGTTACACAGTACCTGGCTAGTGGGTTGTGCCTCAGGTATGCTTAAGGTCAAATCCTGAAAGGGTAAAGTCAGTGGAGATTGTAGCTGATCAGGCCCTTTTTCGAAGTGGAAATGAACCAAGCCCATTACATACTTGCCCAACTTGCTTTGAAATAAAGCTAGTCACGTACCAAAACAACCAAATGTGTTTGGTACATAAATAATGTGATTTGAGATCGGGAGTTCAATAAACCTGAAGGACAAAAATGCTTAGTGTGGTTCTGACAAACACCTGCAAAGGTGTGACTGCAGTACTCCGGGACCAAGCAGCCAGCTGCTCTCCACCTGTATTGTAACCTCTATTGCAACAAGCAGCACTCAACTCCTCAGGGGGAGAGCTGGTGTTCAGCTACAGGAGAAGTGAGAGAACCTGTCTTCCGCAAACCCCCACTTACCCTTCTTGGACAGCTCTACTTGAATTATCAGTTTAAATTTCCAGCAGTTGCTGCATATTATGGTACAGCAAGGCAGCAGGTGAAATAAATGAGACAATTAAAATTAGTTTTTAAAATGCATTTGGGTGGGTGAGGTAATATTTTTTTATTAGACCAACTTTTGTTGGTGAAAGACAAGCTTTCGAGCTTACACAGAGCTCTTCAGAGCAGGTCTGGGAACCTAGCTCAAAGTGTCACTGCTAAATCTGTTCCACCTTGTATAGCTGTGACAGTTAGTTTCCTAGCCCTGAAGAAGAGCTCTGTGTAAACTTGAAAGCTTGTCACTCTCACCAACAGAAGTTGGTCCAACAGAGGATGTTGCCTCACCTACCTTGTCTGTCTACTATCCTAGGACTGACAAAGCTACAACTCACCACCGCGTATTTTAAAACCAAGAAATATAATCTAAGAATAGTGTTATTTTTACTGCATTTCTGCACGGCTTGAGGAGACATTTCCTTTTAACTTTCATACTAGCTCTGAAAGGATGTCGCGTGGCTCAAAGGTAGGTGAATCCATAGAAAGAGAATTTAACCTTTGCCTTCATTTTTCCAGGTAAGATGATCATGTCACCCTTATGAGGAGCAGCCTAGGTATTGAAAAAAAATGCAAAAGAAAGGAGGACTAGAGGTGTGAAAAAGCACCAAGGCTCCACTTGTTTGAAAAAGGGAAAACTTAGTCATATCTAGGAAGTAAGGCTGATTATGGGTGTGGCATTTAGCACTCATTTACTAGACAAAATTTTACATAAATTTCCCCACTTGTATCCAAATGACTAATGTGAGAATGACTGGCAAGATTTCTTTATCAATGATTTAACAACCACTCTCTGGGTTGGTTTAGGCAGTAGAAAAGAGGAAAGAAATAATCCAGATCCTTTCCACATGACCGAGTACCATTTGACAAACATTTGCCTTGCATTCAGACTCTGCCACTTTATGTTGATTTAACAAACTGGTATCAAATTGTGCGTACAGAGTACAAGGGGCAAAATGCTGAAGGGTAGCAGGTTACAAATTGAAATCATAGCACACAACCTACTGGAAGATCGAGTAAATATAAGGATTCAGCTGTAAATCCCCTTTCATCGTATAGATTTTTAAAAAAAATCCAAACACTCTAAACCAGTGGTTCCCAAACTTGTTCTGCCGCTTGTGCAGGGAAAGCCTCTGGCAGGCCAGGCCAGTTTGTTTACCTGCCGTGTCCGCAGGTTTGGCTGATCACGGCTCCCAGTGGCTGCAGTTCGCTGCTCCAGGCTACTGGGAGCTGCTGGAATCAGTGCGGGCCAAGGGACGTACTGGCCGCCGCTTCCAGCAGCTTCCTTTGGCCTGGAGCAGCGAACCGCGGCCACTGGGAGCCGTGATTGGCCGAACCTGCAGACGTGGCAGATAAACAAACCAGCCCGGCCCACCAGGGGCTTTCCCTGCACAAGTAGTGGAACGAGTTTGGGAACCGCTGCTCTAAACAATGCACAAACATCAAGCCTTTCAGCCCTACCTCAGTCTTGTGTGACTTCTTACATAACTTTTGCTGTGAACATTCATTACTGAAGCATATTTTCTTACATAAAGAACTTAAAGTAATGCCTAGTTACAGATAATTAGATAAGGGGTAGATTCAAAGCCTCTGGAGATTTATGGACTTTACACAGCGGCTGGTAGTGAACCAAGGCTGCTTGGAGATGAGACTAGGTAGGTTTTTTTCTTTTTCCAGAATTCTACAGCTCTCTCTATATTATACATGCCCACAGCAATTCCGTCCCCATTCCCCGACAGTTCAGACTAGGGTGATTATTGGAAAGACTCAACAACTGCTATTCTGCACGTGATGCTCTGCTAATATGAAATCTGTTAAATTACCTGGTGTGTTTCTTAGTGCTTAGTCACAGTAGCTGATAATGGTTGGAAAAGGGGATTAAGCCACAGCAAATGCAGATATAGTTTGTTTGTCCATTGCCCCTAGCCCTGTGTTTAGAAAGAGAAAACAACAGCCACTTTATGAAGCAACTCTCTCTTTCCTCCTCTCCCTTCCCCAGTAAAAATTTGTAACATCCCTTCATTTCTTACAGCAGGCATTGTCTTTACTAGAAGCGGTACCTTACCCATACCACAACATTGTACACTTTCTTCCTTCTGTTAAATTGCCTTCATTTTGCATTAGATGGATCAATTCTTAAATAAGTGCTTAGTTCCTCAAAGCACTTTACAGAGTGAGGATAAGTATCATCTCCATTTTATAGACATGACAACTAAAGCACAAGTGTTACGTGACTTGTGTAAGGATCTAAAGAGAGTCAATAAGTCAGGTTTCTGCATCCAATCCTAGACCAAACTACTTTTCATGGACAGTACATTACACTCTTAGGATGCTAGTCACAAAGCTTGTTCTCATGTACACCACCATTCAGGTGCTTTTATAATTCTGTTGCAGATACCCCCATGCTGGAATTTTGTCAATTCACATGTGCCAAATGTAGAATGTTTTTCTATAGAACGTATACAATTTAGGAATATTTCTCAAAAGCTTCTTACATGCAGCCACAGGTTGAACTCAAAGGGTCTCCCACCCAAGAAATGATGGAGCAAAGATGGGGAGTTAATTTTGGAGGGACAACATTAAAGCCAAAATAATGTTTTTTGCATTTGAACTCTTAAAAAGGGTGACCTTCAAATCAAGGAAATAATAGGCCCAGTGCAGCTTCTGCGCTAGGCAAGCTCTGGTGCCAGAGCAGGGAGTTGCACACGTCAATCCTGTCAGCTCTGCCTAAAGTTTATATTAACCAGACAGGCTACAACTGGAAACTCATCTTTACAGGTGATTCAGTCTGAAATGTTGGCATAGCTGTGATGCCCAGGTGGGGGGAAGATCACTGGCTTTTGGGAGGTGGAGGGTGGATGTATATGTACATTGTGTTAGCAATGTTCATTCTGATTTTTGGTGGTTTAGTTAAATTATTTTCCTTGAGTTCCATATAAAATCTGCCCACCCCTCACTTCTGTGGAGGGGGCCCCAGGGACCATGAAGGTTTTTTAGGGGCTGTCAGACAATTTTTAACATTCCAAAATCCACTTTGGACAGTGGCAAGTCTTGATTCCCTGCTGGAAGCATGGCAGCCAACCAGACTCCAGGCATGGATCTCCCCCCTGGAAGTGAGGTACCCCAACCGGGAGCAGAAAGGCGAGAAGACCAGGGGGCAGCTGAGGTCCCGGCAGGGATTTGTGTGGAGTTAAGAGCACTAGCTCTCAGCCCCCCCCGACTCCCCGCTTCAGTTGATGAAAGTGCTCGTGGTGAGTGCATGTACCACCGGCAGAAGGAGGGTAGTGTGGACATCAGCCACTGCAGTTAGTACTAACCTAGGTTGATTTAAGATTGTAGCGTGGACATGCCCTTGGTTTATTAATAGCTTAGCAATGGCATAAGAAGCACATTAGATCACATAGAAGTGTAGCTTGTTAATCTTATTAAGCTCACTTGAAGGCATCCCAACCTTCAACTTTATGTTTTTCTTGCTATCCACCGTTAATGCTTACTTGAGCCTTTATTGCACAGCTGCAGATATACAACAGCAAAGCAGATTTTATAGCAGTGCTAGAGTATAATCTTGTCAACTGTACAGTCATTAATCAAATGTTCAGTTAAAATTAGTATGTTTCAAATCCCCTCCAGAGGCATTCAATTTAGACTGGCTGAGGGTGAATATGGAGCATCCAAAGGGGAGACTGTATATTAAGCATTGTTCCTGTTCACATGACAGACTGGAAACAATATATAAACAAAACACCTGAAATTCAGAATGCTAGGGACTAGAAAGTTGCATTTGGTCCCTTTAGATAAAATAAAGAAATACCACCACTATGTAAGAATTTTATTGTCTGCCTGTAAGAAGTAAAAGCACTTTTCTGATTTGAGGTAAAACCATTAGAAATAGTCTAAAAGGAGTATAAATGGCTTTAAAAAGCAACAAAAAGCCTATAACTAGTTTTGCATTAGCCTAGCCCCTCCCTATGTGGTTCATATAATAATATTTTAGCAAGCTACCTGTGCAAACAACTGTATTCTTTGTTTTAATGCGTAGTGTTACAAAAAGACAAATGCCATCAAAGTGGTTCTCAGGGTATGGATTGAGAATAGTCATTCTGAACACACACGGTCTCAGGTACTTTTATACAGTGCACTAGTTGGTGTTTACAAAAGCTGCTGACCTCATGGAACACTTCCTATTTAAGAACAATTTTGTCTACTTTACGGACTGTTTCCCTTTTTATTTGGTGTAAGCAGCTACGCTCTGTCTAAATTTTCCTAAGTTTTATAAAACATTGGTTTGCTCTGGCAAATAGGGTCATCGGCAACAAAGGATTTTGCAAGAGGCTTGAGCTCCCATGGAGCTTGTTTTCATTCAAAAAGTACACAGTAGCAGCAACACACATCAGGCTAACACACATCATGGGCACCATGAAGAAAACAGCTAAGAAACTACATAATACTTTGCCTTTCTATAGCACTTTCCACTGGAGGATCTACAAGCACTTTACATGAAAGAACTGAGGCTCAATCCCCTGTGAAGTAGATATCCTCCTCCTTTTACCAATGGAGAAACTGGAGCATAGAGATAAAGTGATTTGGCTAAGCCTACAGAGCAAGTCTGACTCTAGGCCTGTGCTTAAGCCCTCAGAGCACTATTAACCTTTCAGTGTAGGAATGTACCTATTGTAGATTTGCAATGTTGTCTTGAAAGTTTACTGCCTAAGTATAAAACCCACTTGCCCACCCTTTACCATGGTACTAAAGAGTTAAAACATTACTTTTGCTTAAAATATATTACATACATACTGCAGGCAAGTGGGCAAGAGTTCTGCATGGTCAGCCTATTGCAAAAATCACAAACTTTAAACCAGACAAGGTAAAAAAGAACCATTGAACAACAGTCAACTCAAAAACAAAAAAGCGCTCTGAGGGGGAAAGTGCCTCTCATGAGGCAGAGGCCTAAGTGAATAGATAACTTGAAACATGTCCTAAAGGCCAGTGAACTCAGGGTCTGTTGGACTAAGAAGGGAAACAAGCTAAAAAGCAAGGACCTACACTGACTTGCTTAATTGGATCCAACAGCAGCATCTGACAGAGCGGGAACGATGGAGAACTACAGAGCACGCCCAACATGCAAGCAAAAGTGTTTCGGCAAGGAATGCATTCCATGAGGGATCAGTGGGCCATTAACTCCTCGAAATTTCCACTAACAAGCTGAAATATTTCTTCAGTATCCTAACAGCATGTTGACCCTCCTCACTGGGCAAAGGCATTCTCAATTCCCCCTTCTGGTATGCGACTTGGTTACTCAGTAAGGAAGAACCTGCTAAAAAGAAGCCTGGATGTGAGTTATAAGACAAAGTAACAGGCTAAATACAATTCTAGGGCCTGCTCTATCCTAGAAACTTGCTGGTATAGTAATATCAGTTAGGGGTGCCATGTTTTTTCAAATGATACTTCTATACCAGCAAAAGCACTGGTGTGGATGCAGCTGTATGGCAATAAAGTGCTTTTGCTGGTACTACTTATTTTGTTCTGGGAACTGGTATGAACCGTACCAGCTTTAGCACTCTTTTGCCGGGATAAGCTTTGTCTACATTAGGTGGTTTGACAATAAAAACTATACCAACAAATCTTTTCTAGTGTAGACTAGGCCAAGGAATCAATAGCAGTCTCCCCCAACACTGTGCCACACACACCCCTCTCTGGTTTAATTTCATCTGGATTAAATTTTGGAATCAGTCCCTAGAATAGTTTTGCTAAGAAGAAAAGTGAACAAACAGTCCCAAGGTGGGAGGGGCAATTTATAATCAATACCAAAACTTCTGTAACATTTCAGATATGCTTTAGAGGTAAACAACAAAAATCATTAATCCAGTTACGTGGCTGTGAATAAACATGGAGTACGTCTTCGCTGTCGCTGGGAGGTGTATTTCTGTACCAGGCAGACACATACATGGTGGCTTTGATCAAGCTGGCATGCTAAAATAACGTGGCTGCCATGGCACAGACAGTGACTGAGGCTAGCTACTCAAATACACAACTAGGATCTTGGATGGGGTTGTACTCGGACAGCTAGCCTGAGCCACTGTGGCCACGCTGCTATTTTTATCATGTCTACCCGAGCTGGGAATTAGCCTAGCCATTCATCAGTCCTTGAATAATGACATGAGTACCTAAAAATGATATAGCCTCTCTGAACAAAAAGAGGATTTTTTTTTTTAAAAGTATTCATGTTCAGTAATTCACCTATAAGCTTGCGGTAAATCTTTAAAATGTCAGTTTTATCTGCTATTAAAATTATTATTTATGTAGCACCATAGATATGTATGATGCTTTATGGACATGGTCCCTGCCCCATAGAGATTATAATCTAAAGCCCACATCCTGCAAGCTCTTCCATTGAGTTCAGTGTAGCATAACTACTCATATGTGTAAAGTTACTCTTAGGCTTAAGTGTTCGCAGGATTGGGGCCTTAGCCATTAAATAAAAGCTTTTTTTATTTCAACCGACTCTGATGGAAGAAAAGCAGAAATAACTTTAGTACAAAGTTGCAGTTCACTTTTGCACTGTCCTGGTGCTTTTTGTCCTACAGAACATTCAGGTCATGCAGTTTTTATGTAAGAAATTTAATCTTGTTTATGTTACTGGTAAATTTAGATTAAGAACGGTTTTAAAAACAATCCAATCACAGCAAGTCTGTACCTTTTCTAATTACTGTTGATATTACAACTTATAAAACAGAACTGGAATGTTACAAATGGTCCCTTAAGATACAAAAATATTGTTCCTCACTGCATTCTCTAGTCTCTCTTTTGATCTTTAGCGTCTTCTTTTTCTTCTTCATCTGAGTATACGGTGGGTTCCTCTCCTTCCTTCAGCAGTTTGCCAACGTAGTGATACTTAACTGTAAATTGAGAAAAAGCACAGAATACAGATCATTCCTTTACCTTGTGCAACCTAGTGTTTTCACTAAAACAGACAGTGGTTAACATAGCATTAAAATTAAAATCAAGAACTACCAATTCTACCTTTGTTTTGCACACTGACAAAAGTGACTGACTTGCCAAACTATTCCTATCGTCATAACAGGTGATATTTATGTGAGAAATGGGCAAAATAAATGCAAACAATACAATTCTTCTCCTATTGCCAAAACCAGGAGTGACAATGTAAAGCCATTCGCGGATACTTTTGTTACCCACAACCTCAGGTCTCATGTTCAAAGGGAGCCAGCTATCACAGTGAAGAAATGAAATCACCATTTTGGGGGTGAGTGGGAAATTATAACACCCCCGTTTCCCCCTCCCCCCCCCATTATACTTGCCTATGCCAGTTCTGGAAGCTGGCATCCTGAGAATGTTCTTGGGGAATGTCAAGAAAACCTTGAAAGGTTTAGATTTTCAGAGATTCATGCTGTGAACAGGCACTGGGAAACAGGAAAAATGTTCTTCCCACCAGCATTAGAGATGGCACTCTTTAGTGGAATTCTCCCACTGTGCACCCAGACAAGCCTTACTCCTGTTAAAATACTTCACAAGGAAATATCTAAGTAGTAAGACATATGCATAAGGAGGAAGGTTATGAATCAGAGCTCTCCTTATCTGACGCAAAGCCTTTTAGCAAGTGAAGGGAAATCTCTTCCTATACTCTCTCCTATATTATAGTTTAAAATTATATGAATTTAAAGGTGAATATTTGCATGATCTGCTAGAAGTTTGGGAACTACATTAACAACTGCAAAGTACTAACGCTTCACTCCTGGAAAGACCGATTTAAATGCTGGTTTTTGGTCATATATGGTAGTAAGAAAAGGAGGACTTGTGGCACCTCAGAGACTAACAAATTTATTTGAACATAAGCTTTCATGAGCTTATGCTCAAATAAATTTGTTAGTCTCTAAGGTGCCACAAGTCCTCCTTTTCTTTTTTCGGATACAGACTAACATGGCTGCTACTCTGAAACCCGACATATGGTAGTGTAATTCTGGTGTCTAGGACACACTTATCATAAAACCACCATTCAACGTGATATGATTAACAGCTTTGTTCAAGACAGGATGAGTGTCAAAATAGCAGCTGTGTCTACATGAGGAGGTTTCCCAAAATAGCAAATTAGGAGCAAAAAAACCCAATAACATTATCTGAGGAAAGCTTGGCTGTTCATGTTGGACACCAAATTAAAAACAAAAACAAAAAACAACCACCTTTTAGTTCTCATTGCACAAAAAATACGTTGTTCCCAAAATATTGATTATTTATGACTAGGGGAAGTGATACTGTGGAAAAATATCCTTGTCTACATTTGCCCCTACATTTTTTTTTACTCCATTGAAAGGTTTTAACCTTAGAGGATTATTTCCTTTTCAACTATGTCTTTTAAAAGAACTTCATTACATTTAGGCACATTGAATAGATTATTTTCACATGTACTCTTTAGAAAGCTCCTTGACAGAAACACAATATACAACAGGAACATATGAAAGTTAACTTCACAAGTTGATCATGATGAAAATGTCTTGTCTACATCTGACTCCAGACTGACTGCTTAATGTAAAGTTTGTATAGGTTTCTGGTGTGAAGACCATGCTAGCAATGAGCATGTCAGAAACCGCAGCTGTGAAAGGACAGACAAGTTACACTTAATGTTGTCTGAATGTAGGTATCTTAAGACTTAAGGGTTATATGCCATATGCATTTGTAAGTATCTTACACCAGTCTAATAGTGGAAACACTGAATCAGTTCAGGTTCTAGACTTTAAAATTTAGTCTGAAGTTTTTGTTTTAACACTAACCACCATGCAGCCAGACTCCTAGTAAACTTTAATGGTCATTTTCTAGACCAAGTGTATATGGAATTTCCATTACATGTTTCTTACTGAAATGCTTGTTATATAAACAACACTTACAGTCTGTTTTATGTAAATGAAAAAAAACACCCACATAGCGCTTTCCTGGTCTAGAAACCCAGGTTAAGTGTTGTGCAGTTAATATTCTTCACCAGGAAGGTATTACTGTAGTGGATCATTATATAATAATCAAACTCCTGGATAGAAGAAGCTAGCTGAGCAGTTTCCAACCTACAAAGTACTGTTAAAAAAAAAAAAAAAAAGACAAAAAACAAAAACCGGGACCACAGAGCAGCTAGAGCTGCTATATTTACATTGGAAGCCTTTAATACTAAGAGCTGCAAAACATAAGAAAGGCCATACTGGGTCAGGCCAAAGGTCCATCTAGCCCAGTATCCTGTCTTCCGATAGTGGCCAATGCCAGGTACCCCAGAGGGAATGAACAGAACAGGAAATCTCAAGTGACCGATTCCCTGTTGCTCATTCCCAGCTTCGGGCAAACAGAGGCTAGGGACACCAGCCCGGCCCATCCTGGCTAATAGCCATTGATGGACCTATCCTTTATGAATTTATCTAGTTCTTTTTTGAACCCTCGTTATAGTCTTGACTGTCACAACATCCTGTGGCAAAGGTGGACTGTGCATTGTATGAAGAAATACTTCCTTTTGTTTTAAACCTGCTGCCAATTAATTTCATTTGGTGACCCCTAGTTCAAAACAGAAGAATACTGCCCAGATTTTTTAGATCATTGTATATTTATATCCAAGCCTCAAAAGACAACAAAAGGGATAACTGCTTTAAACTTATTTTGTTGGCAAAGTCTCCGGATGTGAGCAAAGGGCAGCCTGTCTCCCCTAATCTGGGGCTGCCATTCCTGAATAATGCTGCATAGATAATTTGACATATACAGAATTTATTAATTTCACTCAGTATTCAAAGGTGCTTAAATGATTTTTCAAAATGCAAATTAGGCTTCTGAAAGTCACTTAGAAGCTTCTGCAAATTTTACTTCTCCAAACCTTGTTTTGTAAATGCTCAAAATAAGAATAGGAGAAACAAGGAGTACCAAGTGGAAAACATCTAGTTTCCCCAGAAATAAGCTTCGTTAATTCTTCAGGATGTTAAAAATACAGAATGCTCCCATACAATGCCAACTAAGCTTAACTGCCTTATAGGAACACTCTCCATGTGCAACCAGGTTAATTAAAAAGTTAAAAGCAGTTTCATTCCCTGCCATTTTTTTTTTTGGTAGTTTTACAGTCAGATTTTACTATTGGAAAAAGTGGTTTAATCTCTTCTTTCTCTGTAAAAATCAAAACCAAACAAAAATACCACCACCCAAATGGGGGAAACTGACATTTTTTTCTCTCTAATCTTTCAGTTTTAGAAAACTTAAGTGTTACAATAAAGCAGTTGTTCCCAAACTTTAAACAGCCTGCGAACCCCTCTCACTAAATTGTAAAATCTCATTAACCCCCTCCTAAAAATGAATATTTCCAGGGATTTAAGTTTAAATTTCCTCCACACTCAGTGAGGCTCTTACCGCTGGACCCCATTGACCGCCCCGGTCAACTGAGCTCCACTGAGCTTAGGCTGCAGGTCCCGATGACCACTGGCCCTGCTCTCCCTGGGGCTCGGGCCGCCAACCCCATGCGGAGTGCTGGGGTTCAGATTCCCGGCTCCCCCGCTAATGGGGGCAGGGCTCGGGCTGCCAGCCCCAACTGCCTGGCCCTGCTCTCCCTGGGGCTCGGGCTGCCAGCCCTGCAACCAGGTCCCACCTGCTGCCTCCAATGCCCGGGGTCCTCTGGCTGCCATGAGTGACATTTTTCTGGCGAACACCCTGTAACGTTCCGCAAACCCCAGTTTGGGAACCACTGCAATAAAGGGTACCATATTTTCAGACAGAAGTTTGTTTGCAGCGTTGGTTCCAAGATATTAGAGAGACAAGATGGATGAGGTAGTATCTTCTATTGGATCAACTTCTGTTGGTGAGAGACAATCTTTTGAGTTTATACAGTTCTTCTTCAGGTGTGGGTCAGACCGGAAGAAGGCGGCCTTTTTGTAAGCTTAGGTCTTTCCCCATCAGAAGCTGGTGTAAACAACAATATTAACCTCACCCACCTTGTCTCTTAGACACGTGATGTACCGTATTGAATGTCTTCACCATTATACACAGAAGCTAGCTACTTCACAGAGAGTGGATTTGAAATTGCTTACACATGAACTGTGATTCCCAGTCTCTCAGGGTCTCTTGCTGCGTAGCATTGAGATCAGACAGGTCATCATATTCATCCTTCAGAGCCTCCTTATCCAGACAGAATGTGGCAAGACCTCTGGATGCATCCCTTCCAGCAAAAATTCCATATGGGCCCTCTTTAAAATAAAAAAATGTCGGGATAATTACAACATTGCTGTTTCTTTGAGGACCACGTACCAAGAACCAAATGACATGCTGATCCCCTGACTTGAATCTTATGTTGAAATCCCCAAATAAGATTTGTATTGTAAAATTTGCCCTATTTTGTAATATTGAGCCAGATATTTTCCAGTACATACACACCCAACCCCCCCCCAAAACAAAAACAAGAAACACTACAAGAAAACAGAATCACTAAAGAAGATACTGAGCATGCTGGGACATCAGGAAGAAGAGACAAGTGCTGGTGTGTGGAGGGCATGCAAAAGGGAGCTATGCACAAGATGACAAGAAGCAAATGGCTTTCTTGGAGCAAGCCCGAGACATATGGGTGGCACCTGTAAAGACAGCAAACAGGAGTCAGTTACGTGGGAAGAGGAAAGGAGAAAGGATTCGGAAGTCTGATGAGATGGAGTGCAAGGCAAGCGTATAGCTTTCTGACAAATCCTTCTGGCTTAGAGAGTTGACCCATGGAAGAAGGAGGACCTGAAAGGTGATTAGTTGCCTTGAGATATGGAGGAGAATCTTAACAGGACCCTACTCCAAGGATAGCAATCAGGCTGGAAGCAGGTGCTTAGTAAATATAAAATTTACACAAAATGCATGTAATGCATAATGATCCCAAGGGACTGATGTGTACAGGTCACAGTGGGTCAGAAGTATCTTATCAAGAGGGACTGCTGGTACACTTCATCAATCATTAACTTATGTGCAATAGTAAGCAGAATGTTTTATCAGTACAGAAGTAACAGAAAATTTAAGATAGCACATGTTCCAATGATTCAGCTCTCTTAGGAGGCATTAATGTAACACCAAAATCTGGTTACTTTAGTGCCCACTTGCACTGGGGGGGAAGAAGCCTTTTCAGATTTCAATAAATGGAATCACTTTCCTTTTCATACAAGCAGAGACGCAATTTCATGACTACATTAATAAATTAGACATGGTACACAGCCTCTCATGTTCTCAGATATAACTCACGAGTAGGTTTTTAAAATCTCTCTGCTGATAGAGAACCACACATTCAAATCAATCATGTATATTACCTTACTGTTCTAGAACTTAAAACCCTACTCCTCTTTACACCACCCCTCCGCCCTCAAGTGCCTATGGGGCATGGATCATCTTTGCATGTGTTTGAACAGCACAAGTGGGGCTGTGATTTTGATTGGGAACAAGTATCATAAAAATACCTCTGTGTTACTATATTATAAATATTAAATAATAGAACTGTTTCTATCAAAAGGGAATGTAATGATGAAATCAACAAAAGATTTCACATGTTGCGACCTATGGCATTACAAAGGAAGGTGCCAGGTGAGTTGCATGAAGTAAACAAAACTGCCTGCCCCATCAGTATAATCATTTAAAGCAGGGGTTCTCAAACTGGGGGTCGAGACCCTCTCAGGGGGTCACAAGGTTATTACATACACACATACAGGGGAGGGGTCGCGAGCTGTCAGCCTCCAACCCCAATCCCGCTTGCCTCCAGCATTTATAATGGTGTTAAATATATTAAAAGTGTTTTTAATTTATAAGAGGTGGGGGTTGCACTCAGAGGCATGCTATGTGAAAGGGGTCACCAGTACAAAAGTTTGAGAACCGCTGATTTAAAGAGTACTATAAATGTGCATGGAGCTTGACAAAAAAAAAGTGAAAGAAGTAGATATACTTTGAGTGTACACAACTAAAATACTTGGTTCTGTAACCCTAATGATACAAGTAAACCCTTACTCACAGGAGAAGCCCTGGTTATGCCAATTAGTTTAGGTGAGTAGGAGTTGCAGGACTGGCTCCCAACTTCATGACCGCATTATTATTACTTAGTTGTTGTTGTGGTGATTCTTCAACAAAAAAACTTCAAAAACAGACTCCAAGGAGAGACTGCTGAATTGGAATTAATTTGCAAACTGGATACAATTAACTTAGGCTTGAATAAAGACTGGGAGTGGATGGGTCATTACACAAAGTAAAACTATTTCCCCATGTTTATTCCCCCCCCCCCCACTGTTCTTGTAAAGTGCTGAAAATGGCCCACCTTGATTATCACCACAAAAGGTCCCGCCCTCCCCCCTCCTGCTGGTAATAGCTCACCTTTCCTGATCACTCTCCTTACAACATGTATGGTAACACCCATTGTTTCATGTTCTCTGTGTATATAAAATCTCCCCACTCTATTTTCCACTGTATGCATCCGATGAAGTGAGCTGTAGCTCATGAAGGCTTATGCTTTAATAAATTTGTTAGTCTAAGGTGCCACAAGTCCTCCTTTTCTTTTAGTTGTAGTGCTATCACCTCCAATTAGGCATAAGTTCACCAACTTTAACGACAACCCAAACCCAGAGCTGCTCAGAAGAAAAAGTGTTTTTCAAATAGGAAACTCCGGCAGACAGCATATATTGCAAAGTCCTGGGGCGGGGTACTTTCCCCCTCAGAGACCACCACTGCCTTTTACTTTGGCCCCTGCCCCCCACCAACTTCCCTCACATTGGTAGTTTTGCCTTGTTACCTAGGTGTCTCCTGTGCTCTGGACAGAGGCACTGAGTGTTGTGTAGCCTACTACACTCACGGAGATTACAGAGTAAGGCAGTGATCTGAGTTGTGTTCAATCAGGCCCTGGGAGTTGCCTGAGGGGCTGGGCTTCTGAACTGCAGACAGAGGACACAAGGGCCTCTCCCCCCCACAATTAAGTGCCCCCAGTATAATCCTCTCCACAGACTGGATCCCAGTTACATAGGGAAACAAGCAGCAAATGGAGGGAGAAAGGGTTGGGGATTTCTGCTAGGTAGATGGGAACATATTGAGAGAGTCAGAGCCCAAGGCCTCTCCCCCACACTCCTCCCCAGAGCCTCTCCTCACCCTCACTGCACCTCCACCACTACATCTCAGCACCTCCCCCGGTCCCCACTGCACCCCTCTCCCACACTATACCCCAGTACCTCCCCCTCATCCCTACTACACCCCCTCATGGCCGCTGCACGCAGCACCTCCCCCCACAGCTCCCCAGAGCCTCTCCTCACCCCCACCTCCCCTGGTCCCCACTGCACCCCAAGTCATCCCCCTCATCCCCACACTGCACCCCTCTCCCACAATACCCCCCCGGTCCCCACACTGCACCCCAGCTCCCGGTCCCCAGGGCCAGCCGCCCCCCGCACGCACCGGGCCCGTAGAACTTCCTGGCGCGGCTCACGTCGAAGACCTTGCCGCTGATGGCCATGAGGATGCGCGGGTCCTGCACCCCGTCGTAGGGCCGCAGCTGCGCCAGGGTGAAGTCGCGGCGCCTGAGCTTGGGCGGCGGCGGCGGCTCGGCGTCGTCGGGCTGGCGCGGGGCCCGCTCGCCCCGCAGGATCTGGTAGAGCAGGAAGAGGCAGAGGCCCAGCAGGCTCAGGTTGAGCGGCGAGCTCAGGATCTCCAGCAGCAGCCCCCCGCCGCCGCCGCCCTCCGCCGCCGCCGCCTCGTCTTCCTGGGCCATGGGCTCGGCTGGTTCCGCGGCTCGCCGGGCTGCCTCTGAGCGGCCAGCGGGGACGGGGAGGAGCAGCCAGCAGGGGCCGCCCCTCGCCAGGGAGGAGGGACCTGGGGCTTCCCGCCCAGGCGGCTCCGAGCCCAGCCAGGCCCGAGGCCGCCCCTGCCCCGCCGAGTTTGGGCTCGAGTCATAACAGCCGGGCTTTGGCCTGGCTTTACCGGGACCGTCCTGAGTGTTTGCGGGGGGGTTTTGTCTTGTATAGGCGCCTATTCCTCCCCCCACATCTGGTCACCCTATGGCCAGCCGCAGGGCCAAAGGCAACCCTGGGCACCTGAGCAATGCAGGCTCCTGGTTTCTTTCCCTCCCAGTGGGCTGCTCTGTAGTCGGGGGACCAGATTTCCCGATTTTATTTGGGGCTGTTTCTTAAAAGGCCCCTATTTACACCCCCCACACACATCCACACCCTCTGTCCTGATTTTTCACACTTGCTATCTGGTCATCATACTCTTTAGTCACCTGTTTTCTCTCATCTTGTTCTGGGCTGGTAAAGTTTTTGGGACAGGGACTGTCCTTTTAGCTGGTGTACTGCACAATGGGGTCCTCCTGGGCCATGACTGGGGCTCTCGGGGCTACTGCAGTGTAAGTAGTTACATGCACAAAAACTATATTAAAGTTACAAAGCCAAGCACTCCAAGAATGCCAGACTTAAGGTTGTCTTTGGGCTAACTCAGTAGTAACGTTAAGCATACACTTACAAAGTGTTTGTAGGATCAGAGTTTACAATCTTTACTACAAGATGATTTTTATTCACTTTATCTTTTTTCATTTTACTATCCTTAATCAACCAATCCATTATTTTTTCTTGCTAGTTTCTTCCGTTCTCCCCCTTCTCAGTGCTTTTTCTACAATATTCCCGCCTCTTGCAGAGGACGACAATCCCCTGAACACATTCAAAACTTCTCCCCCCTATTATTTTAGTATCCACCAATAAAACATAAGAGGCACATCCCAAATTGTATATATAGTTAATTAGGACATTTGCAATCAAAGGAACTTCCATGTGTGAGGATACTTCAAAACATTGTATTGCACTTTGCCATACACTAAAGTGTAATTATCTCCAATAAACTGTACTGTCCTTTTTAAAAGACATGTTATAATTGCCCCACCACAATGCTATTCATGTCATATCATCTCTTAGAGAGGGATCACTTCACATGTTGAGGCTTATTTTGCTCTTAGCAATTATGGGAAAGAGAAACAGGAAGAGGGCTGAATTGGGCCTAGACCAGGGGTGGGCAAATTTTTTGGCCTGAGAGCCACATCAGGGTTCCAAAACTGTGTGGAGGGCTGCGTAGGGAAGGCTGTGCTTCCCCAAACAGCCTGGCCCCTGCCCCCCATCCGCCCCCTCCCAATTCCTGCCCCCTGACTGCCCCCCTCAGAACCCCTGACCTACCCAACCGCCCCCTACTACCTGTCCCCTGACTGCCCCCCAGGACTCCCTGCCCCTTATCCAACCCCCCCCGCTCCCCGCCCCCTTACCATGCTGCTCAGAGCAGCATGTCTGGCAGCCCCGCCACCTCGCTGCCCGTCAGGAGCTCGCAGCCCCGCCGCCCAGAGCATTGTCGGCATGGCGAGCTGAGGCTGTGGGGGAAGGGGGACAGCAGGGGAGGGGCTGGGGGCTCAAGGGCTGGGCAGGTCATAGTTTGCCCACCTCTGGTCTAGACTAGAGGCATTTTCTAGCTACATTGCCAAAAATTAACACTAGATGGTGTTGTGAGCACACTAATGTTTGCTGCAGAGCTCATGCTGTATTTTAGAACATCACCTTAGTCTTTAACCATAATGTATCAATTAGATTTCATATGCTTACAATGAGGGTTTCATCAGGAAACACTGTAATCTGATTTAGCAGCCAGCAAATTGTAATTGCCTTACAAAACAATACAAAAGCTCTGCTCATTCTTTTCAAATTGATGTGGTGAAGTGGAAAGGCCCTTTGTATCTGTGCTGTTGTGCAAACTGAAATACAGAAATGTGACCTTACATACGCAATAACCACAAGTGGAGCATGGATTGTTTTATTACAACCCATCATTAAGCTTCATAGCTAGTCTATTAGTAAGACTCAGACATTCTTTCTATACATTTCCTAGCATTTAATCTGATAAAAGAGCTCTTTTCCACTGGTTTAAACTTGAGCCTGTGCATTTTTGATTATCTGCTTGAAAAATGAGTGATCTGAATAGTATTTACTAAAGAGAGTCCAAATACACCTGCATACCCACTTCTATGTGGGGTTGGTCCCATGTGTTCACCCTTTTGTTATATGAAGGGACAGTGCACAAATGATAGTTCTGAGAGTGCATTTTCCAAGATGTTCAGCAACAGAGGACTAGCTTATACTGGGGATGGGAAGTCTAAATCTTGGAATTCCTTATTCAGTTTGATTGCAATAGGAGTTTGGACTAAGTAAGGACTTCAAGCTGGGGCCCCATGAGGCTAACACAGAGAGGCTTCTGATGTTACCAGTTCTAATTCCTTAAAACTGTGTGCTCTTTCCTGCTGTAGTATTCCATCTATTTCTACTTATGACAGTGTTCTTAAGAAGGAAGTACTGGAGTCTAGACAGTGATTGTGCACTACTAACTGCCTGTGTCACCAGAGAACTGAGGGAAGGGGGGGAAAGTACCTACCAAGGGGCTTGAATTTTCAGCTCCTAGCACCTGGTAGTGTATTTTAATACTTATACTAAAATGAGTGTAAAATGCTACCAAATCAGAATGGTAACATTACATTCTCTCTTTGCACAGCTGAGAAGCACCACACAAGGTGCAATGAAGTGAAAAATCAGGCTGAAGTATGAAACTTGGTCATATACTCTACAGAGGAACTTGGTTTGAGTTCATAGTGATCAGACAGTTATATGCATCAAATCTTACAATACTTTCCAAAAGCCATTTCCCATTCATGACAATGTATTTGCTTTTCCTTATGCTTATCACTGTGGCATTTCATTAAAAGTTAGGATGGGAAGTAGTTGGTTTGATTTTCTTTATAATTTACAATGGTAGGAAAGAACAAGGGTGCCGCTAGACATTTTTCACAGGGTACGCACAACTTAACTACAAAAGGATCTCTCAAAACTGGGTGACCGGGCAACAAAATGGCAGATGAAATTCAATGTTGATAAACACAAAGTAATGCACATTGGAAAACATAATCCCAACTACACATATAAAATGATGGGGTCTAAATTGGCTGATACCACTCAAGAAAGAGATATTGGAGTCGTGGATAGTTCTTTGAAAACATCCTCTCAATGTGCAGCAGCAGTCGAAAAAGCATACAGAATGTTGGGAATCATTAAGAAAGGGATAGATAATAAGAAAATATCATATTGCCTCTATATAAATCCATGGTACGCCCACATCTTGAATACTGCATGCAGATGTGGTTGCCCCATCTCAAAAAGAGATATATTGGAATTGGAAAAGGTTTCAAAAAGGGCAACAAAAGTGATTAGGGGTATGGAATGGCTGCCATATGAGGAGAGATTAATAAGATTGGGACTTTTCATCTTTGAAAAGAGACGACTAAGGAGGGGGATATGATAGAGGTCTATGAAATCATGACGGGTGTAGAGAAAGTAAATAAGGAAATGTTATTTACTCCTTCTCATAACACAAGAACTAGGGGTCACCAAATTAAATTAATAGGCAGCAGGTTTAAAACAAACAAAAGGAAGTAATTTTTCACACAATGCACAGTCAACCAGTGGAACTCCTTGTGAGAGGATGTTGTGAAGGTCAAGACTATAACAGAGTTCAAAAAAGAACTAGATAAGTTCATAGAGGATAGGTCCATCAATGGCTATTGGCCAGGATGGACAGGGATGGTGTCCCTAGCCTCTGTTTGCCAGAAGTTCGGAATGGGCAACAGGGGATGGATCACATGATGATTACCTGTTCTGTTCATTCCCTCTGGGGCACCTGGCATTGGCCCCTGTCGGAAGACAGGACACTGGGCTAGATGGACCTTTGGCCTGACCCAGTCTGGCCGTTCTTATGTTCTTATGATTATTCTCTTTAGTGTGTAGATGATTAGAACCAAAGTTCTTTTCACAATGGGATCAGAATTATTTTAGCTCCAGCTACATTTAAACACAGTTGTTGCTAGCAGCATTCTAGCCATTTCTCTTATTAATCTAGGGACGAGGGCCCAGATCCTCAAAGGTATTTAGGTGCCTAACTCCCATTGAATGAGGAAATTTGTGAGGTTGAGTTAGTATTAGTAAAGCATGGGTGGCGGGTGAACCGGGGGCTTGGAGATGCTAGCCTGCCCCTCTTCCCACACCGGAGCCCAGCCACACCCCACCCCAGCCCCGGGCCACCCAAATGCCCCCAGCCCCCAAGCGCCGGTGGCCCAAGCACTGGGTGGGTGGTCCCAGCGCCCCCTAGCTCTGGGTGCCGTGTCTGCAGCCCCAGCCCCCTCAACCCCTCCTTCTGAGCACAGGCTGGGTAGCCCCAGTGCTGCCAGTCCCGCGAGGGACCATGGCCCCAGCTCCCCCAGCCTTGGAGCACTGGGCGCCATGGCCCCAGCACCTGGAGGCCCCTCAGCACTGGGCAGTCCCAGACACCCCAAGGCCTGGCTGCAGGGTGGCTGCGGCCGTCCTAGCCCCAGCACGCTCCCCGGAAGAGAAGCAGCCTGCCTGGGCTGGGGCCAAGGGGAAAGCGGCAAGCTGGAGGAGACCTCGGGGTGGAGTGTGAGTGGGGCCATGTGGAGCTGTTTGGGGAGGCATAGCCTCCTCCAACCTACAATATGCATCTCCCGTGCAGTAAAGTACCATATAAGCAGGGGTGTTGCAGCAATTTTTATAGTCGTGGTGCCGAGAGCCATTGAACCAAACTGTAAACCCTGTATATAATGGAAACCACTTCAAGACAGGGGGTATGGCAGCACCCCCAGCATTCCTAGTTCTAGCACCTATGCATATAAGGGATTTATTAGCACCTAAAACCCTTCTGTGTCAGACGTGCAGAGAAGAGCCCAATTTCCCTGTCTGGCAGTAA